GGAGGTCAAGTACTCGAAAACGTGGTCGCGGCCGTAACGCCTTTAAATAGGAGAAATTTCCTCGCTCGAGTTTACGCGACAGAGAGCAAGCAGCTGGAGGCATGAATTGCGAGCTTTCGGTGGGAAACCAGCGCGGCCGTTGATCAGCGAATTTTCCCCATGTATTCTCCCCCCCTCCCCGCCCTCTTTCACTCTCCTCGATCTTCTCCGACCCAAAGTTTCTTCCAAGGATGCCGAGCATCGAGGGCAAAGGGACAGAAATATCGCGAAACAGCGCCGTATACATAACATACATTGTAATTCGCACCGCCGAAAGCTTTTGTGCAAATTTTCTTCGACGACCTTGCACGACTTTTTATGGCTTTTTTATAATTTTTTACAATCTCTCACAATTTTTTATAGTTCCTCATAATTCTTCTACAATCTCTTGTAAAAAACCTCTGTAATCTTCTATAACTTTCTACGTACTCTTCTGCGACCTTCTGCAATCCCTTGCGGTCTCCCAGGTGCGTGAAATATTTTATTAATGTATTATTTCATAAGTGTACTTTACGTATTTCTCATCTACAAACATGACATCAGCATCGGTCTTTCGCCTCAGCGCCCGCGCACGAACACGCGGGCATCCTGAGTGAAATTCCGAAATTTCGAAATTTCGAGTGAACGCGCCGCGGCTGTGCCCGCTCGTACGCGGCATTAACAGTCTCGCCTTATCAGTCAGCAAATTACGATGCGCAATACCAACAACGCGCGTCCGGTTCCGTTATTTTTGCGACGCCTTCGACTGGAAAGGGGGGTCGGGGAGAGGACGTGGCGCGGCGCGGCGCGGGGCGGCGCGAAAATCGCTCCCGCAGGGAGCGTGAAATAAATACGCGCGTGGAAAGCAGGAAAAGAAAAGTCGCGAAGCGCGTTCGCGAATCGTATCTTTCTTCCGCGCAGCGGAACTATGTTAGAAAGCGAGGCGATGCCGTGGCGTGGCGCGGCGGGCCGCCATCGGCGATGCGCCGCCAGCTTTCTTCCGCTTGCGTGCCGCGTGGGCGTGATTTCGTAATCACCGCGACGAGGACGCAGGAACGCGATCGATGAAACGTATCGATGGGACAGACGCCGCTCGCATCGCGCGCGCGGAGAAAGCTGCCGAGCACGGCGCTGGTCGCGGCGAATCTCTCGAGCAGTCGCGTGCGTTATCGCGCCGTAAGATATGTAATAACGCGCGCGTACGAGAGAGCACGGTGAGGCAGAGGTACGTTTCACCTGTAATTGCAATCCATGCTTCTCTCTCTCTCTCTCTCTCTCTCTCTCTCTTTCTCTCTCTATCTCTCTCTATCTCTCTCTATCTCTCCGCGCGCTCTCGGATGCTCTGACGAGCCGGTGAATCCGAGATAGCGCGTTACGCGTGATCTCGAAGAAAAAAGGAGGACAGGGTGTGTGTGTGTGTGAATGAGTTAACTTAACACGCGTGTGTACACATCGGAGATTCGATGAAAAATTCGATCGATCAGCCGAGTGATCGAAGTAACGCGCGCCTTGCACAATGGCTGACCTCGGCGCGAAAATGAGATTTGCGATGTTATGCGAGTGTCAAAACACACCGATCGCCGGTCGCGGCCGCTTGAAATTCGCGATTTGAAGTCCAACGAGGTGAAGGTCTATCGCGCGGTGGGATTCGACGCCGGGACTGGTTTTGACACAGTAGGTCGGAATTTACACAAGCTTCGCTCTCTTCGCCTCGGCGACTTGGACGAGTGCAACATGGCGAGAGAGAGAGAGAGAGAGAGAGAGAGAGAGAGAGAGAGAGAGAGAAAGAGAGAGAGAGAGAGCGCTGCGCTCGCGACATCACACAGGATGTAAATACCGGAGCTATAATATAGATAGACACATATCGACGATATGATACAGATGATTATTTCCGAAACATGACGAATGGGAGCACGGTTTATCTAACAGAAATCTAACATGGTACAAAAGTGGCTTTTTTCGTTTTCATTATTCATCGAGGAAAGTCTCAATGACGGCGTATCTTAGTGCCTGCATATTCCAAGCAGTGGTAATCAATTACGGCTTCTCTCAGCCTGTATATATAATAATGTAACCATTATGTAACGGGAAAAGTCTTTAGTACACACGACAGAGTAATACCGCAGATGGACGGAGCAAAATTAAGAAGAAGAGGCGAGCGAAATGCGCACCGCGAGGTGAGAAAGAGAGAAAGCTCTCATATTATATAAGTAAAACAAATGATATTATTAAGGATATCATCTCTCTCTCTCTCTTTCTCTCCCTCTCTCTCTCTCTCTCTCTCTCTCTCCCCCCCTCCCCCCCCCCTCTCTCTCTCTCTCTCTCTCTCTCTCTCGATAACGCACGATGTTACGCAAGTAAAATGAATAAATCATTTGGAATGATGAACATATAAATTCGCGGAGACAGACACAACGCGGTTAAAAGTTTAAATGTGCGCGACAAGCGCAGGCGTTCGAAGTGCAAACGTAGCACATGCAAGAATATTAAATAAAATGTAAAAAAAAAAGAGAACGGGGGGAGTTAAATGGGATAGATAAGGTGACGATATATTCTGGAAAGAGGTTTCGGACGGAAAAGTCGAAGAAAATATCACGTAAAATATTTTCACAAACGAGCCTTTTACGACGCTATCGGCCTTGCGTGCCGAGCTTTCCTCGACGCGGACTAATTATGTAAAATTACGGCGTTCTTATTCACCATTCCTCCCTTCGTCTCTCTCACTCTCCCTCTCTCTCTCTCTCTTTCTCTCTTACATCTTCAATTCGCGATTTAGCTCCATTCTTCGCCGAGCCGACCAGTCGCGGGCTTAAACTGGCCGCGCGCTCACGGCAAGTGCGTTTAACGCAGCGCGCGGCGAACGAGGCGAGCGGGGATCGCCGAAGGATAAATATTTACGAGAAAGGCGCAAAGAGTACCCGCGACCGGTTTATGCTACTCGACTTGCGATTGTTTCACTTCGTGAACGGCCTTATAACGACGGTGCATAAAATTATTTATGACCGCGGTGGCGGTGGCGGCGGCGGCGGCGGCCGCCTTCCAAAAAGGAAGATGACCATTCAAGGAGACAGCCTAAAGGTTTCCAAAACCGGTCGACCTTGCTGTCGCCCGGATCGTGAACAGCCGGCTCCTACTAATCAATCATCGGTTATTGACCTCGGCCGAAGGCTGTGACGTAATCAATCGCGTGAAAAATGACCGCGTTAACCGCCAACCGTCACTGATCAGTCAGGTCACGTCATGTCGTTTGACGGGCCCGACGGGAAGACACGAATTTCAAAGAAGTCCCTCTCGCGAGGCGGCCGCGATCGCCTGCAGTTTCGTAACGACGCGACGCGCGAACCTGCGCGAAGGACGAGCTGTGAGCTGAAGACGCGAAAGAATGCAGCGAGTCTGTCGAAAAAGATCTACTCTCCGAAGCTCGATCAGGCTGTTTCGCCTGAAATGTTGTACTCGCAAGCGGTGGGCTCGTAAACGCAGCGATGCAGCGAGTAAAATCTCGCTGAAACTTTACACGTCCAATTAATACGTTAATTGGCCACCGGCGACCGGTGGCTGTAACAATGAATGCTTTCCATTCAGTGACGCAAGTCGACGCAAAAGTCACGTCTCATCTCCGTCTCACTCACCGAGCACGGAACGAAGACGGAATATGATATCTGCGTCGTCTTGTGTCACCAGATGGAAAGCACAGCGTACATCGTCGTGTCTCACTGATTTATGTGTGAAACGTAACCAACTGCGCTTAAATCAGGACAAATTAGACGCGTGTAGCCGATAGGCGGCCGACGAAACATGCGCAACGCGGATTGCACCGCGGTTTGTCGATGAGCGAAGTTTGAGCCGAGCATCGCGAGGCGATGAATAGCGATCAAACGTGTCGCAATCAGTTGAACGTTACAAACATATCGACAAGTCGGTAAAGTATCGCTCCGGCAGGATCGGATAATATTAGCGGCTGTCCCCATTGTCGATGCGGTTTGCAATAACAGACCAGTGGTGCGATTCTTTAACTCGTTATTGGAGCTAACGACAGTTTCGTTATCGTTGAGCAGTTTTTCTACGGTATACAAAAGCTGCGCAACGATAACGAAAGTGTCGTTAACTCCAATAACGAGTTCAAGAATCGCACCAGAGTGACGTGGCGCGCAAGAAGCCGGCAGTCTCATCGTCGCGAACGCAGAAAATCGAATATGTGACGGTACATTTGTGCGCAGATTTTGCAATGAAGTCTTATCTGCACCGGCGGAAATCAGTGGGATAGGAAAACGAGGAAGTGTGAAAATCTCCTTTTCTCAATTTATTTCGAATCGGGATTTTCACTGATCGATTTTAAAATCGGTCTTTTAGAGGTCGACCCTTCTCTGCTCGATTTTTTTACATATCGATTCTCTTCAATGAAGAATCGAGTTTCGGTCGGTTGATAAACCTACTTATCAATGTTGTTTCGTTGAATTCTCCAACTGAGGCCGACGTTTGAAGGAATCGAACAGGAAAGAATCGATTTAGGAAAATCGAAATCGCCCATCCGCCAGTATGAGAGAATCTCTTGACTGATTTATCCAAATCAGAAACATTTTTTCAGCGATTCGCCTTCAGAAAGCGAGAACGAGAGGGAACCAAGGATACGGGGGGAAAGGGGAGGAGGGGGAGGGGGATACGAGAGAACACAGAGCGTAGCCTTCACTCCAAAATAAGACAATTATTATTATTACTGTTATCTCACATGAGATTAAATCGCTGTCGGGGTTCTCGTTATCCTTTTTGCTTTCGCTCGGCGAGAGAAGCGCGAGAGAATCTGACTTCCATCCTCGAGATCACGTCTCACGATCGTCGGATCCTTCTCATCACCCAACGTTCTCGCGTAAGAGTCCCCCAACTGGAGACATCTTAATTAGCATCTCGTGATTATAGCAGGAGCCGCGATCGCAACGCTGCCGACAGTGACTCGTCCTTGACAACATCTCTCGGTTTTTCCTCAGGGGCGGCCGTAGCGATCGGAGTGCTGCTGATAATCGTGGCCGTCGTCCTGGCGATTCTGTTTCCGAATCTCATCGACCTCGTCCTGGACAAAGAGCTCGTCATACGCGATGGCGGCCGCACGTATAAGTGGTGGAAGGAGCCGCCGGTGGTGCCTCACATGAAGATCTACATTTACAACGTGACGAACGCCGACGAGTTCCTGAACAACGGCGAGAAGCCCGCCCTGCAGGAGCTGGGCCCGTACGTCTACAGGCAGCACTGGGAAAAGACGGAAGTCAAATTCAACGACAACGGAACCGTTACCTACAAGGTCAAGAAAACGTTCGTCTACGTACCGGTGAGTTGCCATCGCTGCGGAACGGCGAGAGCGATTTACGACGTTAGTGAGTCGCGACACTCGCGATTCAGGTCTTCTTAACTGTTTAACGACTCGGTCGCGGTCGTTTCTGGAATACCGCTGCTCTCTTCAGCGTAGCGTCGGTCTCGTCTTAACGCGCGCTCTTTGAGCGTCCGGCGTCTGTTATCCACATACGTTCCAGGAGTGCCGTCGCGTCTTGATTTTCTCTTTAGCTGAAATATTAACGTCTTGACGACCGCACACTCGACTCGGCTCGAAAAAGGATTCTATTTGATCTCCGGCGGGTTTCAGAAGATTCGGCTTCGACGGATGAATACTCTTTTTTTCTGCGGACACGAGTCCGTAAATTCTGCATGAAGAAAATATTACAGCTCTTTTTCGAGTGAATTCCCTTTTTGACCTCATCATGTCTCATCATGTCTCTGTTTGCATCATGTCTCTGTTTGCATTTTTAATTTTATTACACTTTTAATAGTAGACTCAACAGTAGAATCACTTTTTAAGGTGTAAATGACGCGTGTAAAAATGGAATAATGTAAGAACCAAGCCGGAATGTCGATTTAATTGCCGATGAGGAAAATCTCCTCGGTAATTTTTAACTACGAAACGTTCTGCATAAATCATGACAATTATAGCGTCATTTAACGCGTCCGGACTGTTAGATTACATTTTGATGAAATTACCATTTGATTTGCGGTTACGTCTGAACGTCGTCGAACGCACGGCAAGAAACCTGCAAAAAGAGCCTCGGGCAAAATAACACACTTAAATTGAAAGTGTACAGGCCGTTGTTATCGACGTTTATATTTCATCACAGGGTGATAAGCGTTGGCAAAATGAGGCCGCGCGTATGTGACAGCTGCCGTCCAGATGTGTTAAGATTCGCACGCGACATTCCACGTTTATCCGTGAATTCGCGTTTGAGTCGTGCACACCGGGCTTTGTGTTCACCGAACAAAATCGAGGAAAGCGACACTCCCGAGGCACGCGCGTCTCCAGGACGTTTCCTGCTTGTCCATTCCAGACTGCGTCCCGACGATCGCTCGAGATGCATCGCGCGCGGTCGCCGATCATTGCTTTATCGAGAAACGCGCGTACAGCCGGGATATCGGTGCTGTTTACCGAGAAAATGAAGAAGAGAGTCATAGCGACGAGAATGTCTGTCGTCGCGTTGAATGGCAATCGTCTCTGCGCTATTCGAATTAGTCACAGGTGCGTCCCTTGCGCGCGCGTCGCGGTCGCGAGCTATTCTTGTGCGCGCATCGAAATCACCGCGAGGTGACTTTCTACGGCGCAACGTCGGAGAAACACTTCCACGCACGCACACAAACACACACACACGCACGCACGCACGTATGATGGAGCCGAGTGCATGAACAACGCGACTCGATAGCGGCAGGAGAGAAAACACTCGGCGGCGCCGTTTTTGCTTCGCCGGAAACGTAAGCGGAATATTCATAAATCCGCGGAAGTTCGCTATATTGTGGCTTACGTGAAGCTTTTTACTCGAGGTTTACCCGACCCACGTAGCTATTGCTTGATCTTTCCTCGTAACCCTCCGAGCTTGAATTCCTCAGGTTTCTTGCGCACGTTATCGTTCGTTAGAAATCGAGATTTGCCACTTGAGGATGTTTTTGTTATCTCCCGCAAATGAATAAACCATATTAGAGCCTGCTTGCTTTTATCCTCGACGCCGCGCAACCGTGTTTATTCTGCCATATTTTGTATTCCTGCGATTTATCGTTCTCTTCAACTCTCTCGGACGTAGGTCCTCTTGGTCTGGATCACTTTCCATTATTTACAATTTTGTAACTTTCTCCAACTCTTGCGTGCCTTGATCTGGATTACTTTTTATTATTTTACCCTCTCGTAGCTTTACTCGTACTCGTGCTCCTCGATTATCAACTTCGCATCGCTCAATCTTTTTCTCTAAAAGTGCCTCCCGCGAACGAACCCTCCTCGTCGTTCATTCATCTTCTACTTTAAGCCTGGTGTTATTCAGAACCAGTCTATACTTGATGACTCAAGCCGGCCTCTCATTTCTCTCTTTTCCCTGCGAAATTTCAGGAGATGTCGTCCGGCTCCGAGGACGACCTGGTGGTCGTGCCGAACGTTCCCATGCTGTCGGCCACCAGTCAGTCGAAGCACGCCGCCCGATTCCTGCGTCTGGCGATGGCGTCCATCATGGACATCCTGAAGATCAAGCCGTTCGTCGAGGTGTCGGTCGGCCAGCTACTCTGGGGCTACGAGGATCCGCTGCTGAAACTGGCCAAGGACGTGGTGCCTAAGGAGCAAAAGCTGCCGTACGATCAGTTCGGTCTGCTGTACGGCAAGAACTCCACCATGCCGGACCTGTACACCATATTCACCGGCGCAAACGACATCACCAAGTTCGGCATGATGGACAAGTGGAACGGCAAGGATGGCCTGGGCCATTGGACCACGCAGGAATGCGACTCCATCATGGGCACCGACGGCAGCATATTCCCACCACACATCACCAAGCACACGATGCTCAAGGTCTTCGACAAGGACCTCTGCAGGACGTTACCGTTGGTCTATCAGGTACACCTTGGCGATCGTATATTTTATTAATTTTTTTTCGTCTACCGTCGATAATATCGACGGTAGACGAGATGATTCGATATCTCGCTGAGCGATCGTCGAATTTTGAATAGTTTTTCTCTTAATATTATGATGCGAATAAAATGCGGTGAAAAAAAATGCTTAAAAACATGTCCGTTTTTCACGTAGTTCGTCACGTAGTCAGATAGTTATCTTTCATACAGGATTTCATAAATAGAAGTTTATGTAACATTGACGTTAAGACGGCGCACAGTGTTCGCAGAGCCCACTTTTATGGATAAAAATCGGCATTTGAAATCTATTTAAGATATCGACCTACAATTTTACACACATATATTACATATTAAAAGTAATGTTTTATATATAGTCGCACACCAGAATTTGAAACGATAAAAGCAGTGAGGGGAGAGAGATATATCAATTAAAAGGAAGTTATATTTTTGTTGTTCTTATTACTATTTATTTTGTTCTTTTTTTCTTATTATCGCATTTTTATTATTATATTACAATATTATATAATATTATTATACATAATTATAATATTTTACGTAACTGACTAAGCTCTGACTAAGTTCTGAAAAAATAAATGAAGTAAATCTTCATTGGTTTGAGACTTTTTTTAATGTTAAATTCGCTAATTGAAAAAAATTTTTTTTTAATATATCTTCGATTATATCTTCGATTTAGATTGAAGTTTTTTTTAGAAATATTAAAAGATATTGACTGAGTCAAGCTAGAGATTTCGATTATTTAAAAAAATAAATATCTATAATTAATTAAGCTATTTATTAAGCTAATAATAAATATCCAAATTATTCATATATAATAATATTATATGTTATTGTAATATTGGTAACAAAAATGTGGCAATAAGAAAAATAAATATTGATAAAAAGTAACAAGTATGACTGTTTTGAAAAGGTCTTAAAAAGAGCTACAAGAATATGCTACAAGAATAAAAAATAAGGGGTTTTATTAAAAAAAAAAATTAACCTCTATATGACCTTGGCACGTACATCCAAGTCAAACCAATGGCATCATTTTACGTTCCTCTTGAAATCATAAAACATTTGTAAGAAACATTTTTTGATACAATTGGGTTTTCGAAAAAATATCATTGCCGTCACTTAAAATGACTCACCCTATATGTGTATAAAATTTTAAACACCCTTATTTTATTTTAATTATATTTGTCATACGATGGAAATCTGCTCATTTAACACACAAATGTAAATGAATAAGTTGAGCCGTTAACAGTCATGTTCGGCATGCATTCTGGCTGTAGTTTTTTGCTTCGAAATCGCTTAGGCGCACACTTGCACAGTATGTCCAATTTTTCTCATGTAAATAACACTTGTAGCTCATGTTATGTATAAAAATGGACACAATGGAATACAATGGACGTGATTTATCTCAATATTTTTGTTCCTTTATAAGAAATTTGTCACTAATTTGAATTATGGTGCGTGCATAAATAAATCGAAACATACGAGAACCATTATTAGCTTATTAAAAGAGCAGTATATAGTTAATTTTTAATTTATAAATTCAACTCTCTAATATTTAGTTACGTGAAGAATATGAGCCTTTAATATATGTACGATTCTACTCATAAAATAATTCTTTTTATGCGGTCATGTTTCTCGAACTCTCAGACCACTATTTGATCAGAAATTCGTGTTCTTTATATGTTTTCTTACACTTCAGACTCTATAGTTTTAATTTCTGCAAAAAGAAATTTACTGTTTTATATTTCATAAAATGTCTTTTGTCCACGAAAACGGGTGATGCGACACACTGTGCGGCGCGGGCGGCACGAGAAACGGAAAAAGATTTTAAATTGAAATTTAGTATAACAATAATAATCAATTCATCGGAAAATCTCGTAAAAAAAACAAGCGCTTCATGATTGATTTTTGTTTAGCCTTGCTATTGTACAATAATTAAAATCTAAATTTAAATTTTCACGTATTTTTAAAGTTAAATCTTCCAAATTAAAATCTATATTTAATTTCCAATGTCACTAAAATACAAATAGATCTCAAAAAATCCTAACAGATAAGGTAATAAATAAAGTTCATTCATTTATCCATTCACTTTCAAACTTCAAGATGAAACAAACAGCTTAGCGGAATCTGAGCGCGATTAACGTAGAAGCGAAATTTCCAGTTGAGATTTCGCCGATTAAAACTCGTAGTCGAGTGAAACTTGAGTATTTTTATTTCACTTCGAATTGCTCGACACGGGACAATGATCAATTTGCTGGAAGTCTCGTCTAAAAAACAAGTGCTGATTTACGGTCTATTTACACTTCTTTAGCCTTACTAAACGTAATTAAACCCAAATTTAAATTTTCACGCATCTTTATTTAAATCTTCCAAATGTGAATCTTCGTTTAATGTCGCTAAAATCCAACGCAATTGCCGTCTCGAACTAATTCGAACATCTTTCCAGCGCGATGTGTTAGCCGCGGGGGATGTGCCCGGCTACAGATTCGCTCCTCCGACGAACGTCTTCACCTCGGTGGAGAACTTACCTTCGCAGAAGTGCTACTGCCCGGCCGGGCCGCCTTGCGCGCCAGAAGGAACGTTCAACGTCTCCCTGTGCCAGTACGACTCGCCGGTTCTCATCACTTTCCCGCATTTCTACCTCGGTAAGTGGCACGCGACGGCGGTTTCTGGACGAGCGTTCTTGATAAATCGTCCTCGTGAGGAGGAAGCCACCTGCAATCAGCGAAAGAGAGAGCAACACTCGCGGCTATCTCCGGCTGAACGCAGCGCGCGAGAGGAGACGCCGGAGGAGCGAGGTTGAGCAAGGCTTCTTGCTCAGGCAAATATCCCAGCTGCTGTTATTGTTATTGTCGGGATTGATCGCGCGATTTTCCTTGACGCGATACATATCGTCCGATTCTCTTGACGTAACGTTGTCTCCGTGATTCACGGCCTGTCGTATCCCGCGACACGATCAGTCCGTCGCCGTCGCGACTCACGCGATTCTAAAAGTATATCGCCTTATGCAACCGACGACGCATTATTCGCAGCGATTATTCGCACATTATTATTTCGCACACGACGCGTTCTCGCTGCGTAGCCCCGAGCGCTTACAAAGCGTTATCCCTCCTGATTCGCGCCGCTCACGTCTCGCGCCGCTTCCTGGACGCTACTAACGAGAGAGTCGACTTGCTGATGCTCCACCGTCTCTACGTAGAAAAAGTAATCGACCGATCGATCGGCCGGTTTCGCGAAGATCGTCCGAGTGTGTGCCGGTTTCGTAAGCAGGATCTACATGTCACGCCGCTTCCGGCTTCGCGAAACTACACAGTTTCGCGAGTCGGCTTTGCCACAGGCCCGGTTTCTTTCTTTTCTCCGTAAGAACAAACCCTCTCTCGCTCTCTCTCTCTCTCTCTCTCTCTCTCTCACGCGCGCGCCGCAGAATGGCGCGATCCTCCCACGAAATATTATACGAGCTGTTTCGCTGCTTTATTGTCGCGCGAATCTCTCGCGTCGCCGCTTTTACTTTCGGCCTCTGGATTTCAGGAGAGCCAATCTGCGGTTGCCCGACTACTTGCGACGGTAACAATAATAGTCTTCGCCGAGCGTAAAAACAACGTCGAGACGAACGTCTGGAGTAAATTAGGAATTCAGAGAAACTTATCTAGAAGGCAAGGCTAAGCCTATTAATTTACTTCTTAGGCCCGATTAGGATGTGTAGAGATATTTATTTTGTGTATTTTCATGCAACCCGAATCGCGTCAAATATTTTTTCTTTGTGGGGGGATTTTTATTTTTGAGTCTCCGACGCACATTGAAGGATTAAAATATTCAGTATTCCTCTGCTTCGGTGCTAGGTGTTAATTTTTTATATTTGTGTGTATAAAACATTGCTTTCAATATGTGGCTTTTTTTATTTCCCACTACTCAATGGTGCGATATTTTAACAACGCTATCTTCGCAGGAATTACATTTACTTAACTATTTCTGATCATTCGCAATTTATTTTCTAATTATTCTTAATTTTTTCACTTGGCTTAATTTCCATTAGACATTATGTCAGAAAATGAGTTCAAACAACGATATTTCATTTCGATGTTTCAATTTTACCTGAACAAGGGGGAGCGTTGGCGCTTCTTTTTTTCTTTTTCTTTTTTAAAGGATTAGACTCGACTGGAATGTTTGGAATATAAAATGTCAAGGAGCTTAAAATTTACAATGTTACCGGGGCGACTCGGAATGATCGAGATGATCGTCTCATGGATGACGCGTGAGCGAGAGAGCAAACCGTACCTGCTGATAAGCTCGCACGTCATTGGCGTTAAAGCCATTCGATTCCGACTGTATAAAGCAGAATACGCGCAGAAGGTCTTGAGTTGAGTAGAAAATAATGTAGATGCAAATTCTCTCCGGCAGATATTCAATTCCCGGCGGCGTGAAAGGAGTCGCGGCGGACGATCTGTCACGTGTTAGCTCGTCGAGCTCGCCACGGAAGAACTCGCGATTCCTTTCGCCACGCCGTACACGTGTACACTTTGACACAGCGCATCTCAGAAGCTGATGAATTTCTTCTTGAAGGGCAACTAGCGTGGTTAAGCTGATGAATTAATGACACTCGAGCGCGATCGATCGATTCCGCTCGAATGATGGGCGATCTCGGCTCGATCTGCGGAAAACCGACCTGTTTCCTCGAAAAGTCGATTCTTTCAATCCTCCTCCTTTTCTGATTCTCGATTTTCGATTCTTTTCAACGAAGAATCAATTTTCTTAATCATCAATACTGTTTCGTTCAATGAAGAACTCTCAACTGGGACCACGTTTGAGAGAACCGATTTGCACAAAAATCGAACAGGAAAGAATTTATTAAACAAAAAAGAAAAGAAAAAAAAATTTCGAAAGAAGAAATCGATTGTCTGAAAACCAAAGCGAGGCATATCGCCCATCGCCGCCCGGCCCGTCGACGTTGTTGTTATTGTTGCTTCGCGCGTCGCCGCGTTGCGATGGCTCGCGTTTCGAAAGACACTTGAAGAGAGCCTTGAGCGCAACTCATGGAGCGCTGAAGCGGCGCGATTAAGCGCCACTTAAACGCACCGCGTTACATCCGTGTTACGAGCAACCGCACGGAATGACTTCTGACACTACAGAATAACGTCGTTATGTAAAGGCACGAGCGTGGAGCGTCCAGTCGGACTGGTTTCTTCTTCTTCTTCTTTCTCCGCGTTTCTTTTTTTCCTCCTTTCTCATTGTTCATTAACCGCATCGGCCGTGGAAAAACGAGATGGGGCGGGCGTAAATCGCGCCGTCCTGTTGAGCCTCGCGCAACGATCGAGGCGTTGGAAATGAAAAGGAGCAAAAGATTCCCGGAACACAGCGGCTTGCAGCTCGAGCAACGTGTAGAAGAAGCGACCGAGGGAAAGGAGAGATCCGCGCCCGCGCGCTCCTTAGCGCGAAAAGCGCTGAGACGCAAAGTTCACGCACAGCGCTCGACGAGACGGCGCGCTCTAATCGCGCTGTTTCTGTTCGCGTGCTTTTGAAATAAAAACATCGATGTGTTTTTTCTCGAGCCTGTTATCGTTTTGCGTAACACCGTCATCGCGTGAGAAAAACGATCGCTACAAGTGCAGTCTTATCGAGGTTTTTTACACCGAAAATACTCGCGCTCTCTCATGTGGTTGCCCAAAAATTCATAACAATAATAATAATAATAATAACCGTAATCTTTGTCAAACATAAAGGCAATATTGGGCCTGTGACATTTAAAATAAATTAAAATCGGAAGGAAATATTCTCGAATACGTAACGGCTTGACATGTTGAACTGTTGAGAATTGCCTAGATTGAAATACGAAGCACCTTCGGAATCGGATATCGAGGGGGGGCGAAATTACAAATCGGGGATCCTTGAGGACAAAAGCAGGATGGGGACAACAAGGCGGTAATCCGGAAAAATTTGGGCGATTTTGCGCAGCGACTGGCCAAGTGAAGTGCTTTATGTAGAAGAGAGCAACCTCGGGTCTTGAGGTGTGATGAAACAAAAAGGAGAAAACCCAGAGAGAGAAAAGGAGAAAAACAGAGAGAGAGAGAGAGAGAGAGAGAGAGAGAGAGAAATTTTCGCGAAACTTGATGAGAAAGAACTGGACGGCTCGGAGGTGGTCGAAGAAGGACGACCCAACGAATTAACAGTAACGCTACTCTACTGTTTAAATTCGCCTCGTTCAACGATGTTGACGCAATTATACATTGTCGAGCAGGAAATTGTAGCATTGATGCAGCGATCCGATATAAGCAGTAAACAAAAACAACCTGACATTAGCATCTTGAAGTGATGATGCGTCGTATGCATCTCTCGAATGTTCCCGAGCTTGATGTTTTCGAAATATTCCAGAAATATTAACGAGTAATAGGACTTTCCGAACTTCGTGGAACCGTTTCTAAAATATTCCGAAAGTATTCCAGAAGTCCCGGAGTCGTTCGCAAGGTCGGCGCAACGTTACAAACGCCGGGCGACGTTAATTAAATATCACTGAAACAACGTTCTATCGACGAACGTTGAACATTGGCTCACCGGTGAGATAAGCATCGATTTTATATTAATTGATTGAAAAAGACACGACGCGGGATCGATACGTCCCTGGACACGCGTCAATTATATTTCATTACGATACAAGAAATCTCTTTATGTTACACGCGCGCACGGCTTTTTATTCTCCGATTCTCTCACAGCTTCTTTTAGTCTCATTTAGTTCCCTCGATCGTAGAGCCTTCGCGTGCCAATGAAACATGTCATTAACTCTACCTCCGCGTTTTATCGTATACAGTATACTCTGGATATTTTTAGCGAGACTGCATCTTCCCGCAGCCACCACTCACACGCTGGTTTGTTGACGGTCGTTCGTTAAGCAAGGAAACATTTCGTCGTTACACGTCAAACCTCATTAAACCGACGGCCTTCGTTTTTCCACTTCGTCGTCGGTGCTTCGGTCAATCGACGCGATCGCTCGTCGCTCGCTCACACTCTGCTTCTCATTGCTATCTTTTTCTCCTGTCTGTTCCAGCCGACCCGGCCTTGCGGGACGCTGTGACGGGCATATCGCCGCCGGATCCTGAGAAGCATCAGCTCTACATCGACGTGCAGCCGATAATGGGCACGGCTATGAGAGCGCGCGCACGGGTGCAGATCAATCTGGCGGTGAGCCAGGTGCGAGACATCAAGCAGGTCGCTTCGTTCCCCGACATCGTTTTCCCCATCATGTGGTTCGAGGATGTAAGTATACCGCGCGAGCTCTCGTTACGACGTAATTGTCTGATCCGGGGCCGATTATTCTCGCCCCGCGTTCGGATCGGCGGCGTTCGGCATCGATGTCTCCCCCCTCCCCTCCTCGCCTCTTTCTCCCTCTCATTTATCTACGAAAAGACGCCGCGTAACGATGATAATTATATAATAACGTATAATGATACAAAGTACCACGTGTTTTTCATCATTACGCGCGATAATGCTTACTGAGTAGCGGCGCGTTGCTATGTCGCGACTCACGCGAACAATTAGCGATAACGAATGCAACCGGCGATTCCCCGAGCGCTCGCTTTTATCGTCCTCCTTTTTTCGGACCTTTTTGTCCGCTCGCTCCTGCGTCGATCGGGAATTATTCATCATAAATTATCGAGCCGATTCAACGAGTCGCCGATGATTATGTGACTCTCGCACTTTTTCTCGAGATTCACTCGCGCGCGCGCGAGTGAGTCACGGCGTGTGTTTTCTCTGAATCTACTCGGCCCTCGGGGCTCTTCGCGTTAATGCATGCGATAGATGTGGCGTGAGTTTGTGTTGTACGCGCGCTAAATGGTCGCGAGGGCATGAATTCACGGCGACGGGAGCGAGGATGACCGCTTTTTCATGCCTAATAATCACGTCGTTCTCGGCAAAAGGGGGCAAGAAAAGTGCTCGCGGCAGCTTCGCGTTCCCGCAATAGACCGACCGACGGTGCATAGATTTCAGCAATTATGCTAATGAGCAGCGTTCACGTAAACAACGTAACGCTCGTCGTCGACGTACGCATACGCATATGATGTTTCTCGTCTGCTTGCCGTCTTCCTTCTCGCTTCTCCCCTGCGTATCTCCACGCACTCGCGAATCTGAGGAAACTCGCGACTCGGAGTAGACTCTCTGCTCGCCACATGTTTCCATCCATCGGCCGCCCGTTAGGGCGACGAGAGAAGCAAAAAGGAGATAAGGTGAATGTCCCAATTAGCGGCCGAGTCGTCTAAGCTCGTCGTCGAGGGGGATTAATAAACGGATAAACTTTCGAACGTCGCCCACGCGGCGCCCAATTGCCACAATTTGAACGCCGACAGCATTCACATCTTACCGCGTGTATCGCAATTAGCGCAATTACACAGTTTTTTCCCGGATTAGTCTACGATTACGATTCGACAGCGACATTACGCGATTATTTGGCAGTTTATTTCCTACTCGTCGACTGACGTGGATAAAATATGCGCGTAATTTATCGCGGAGGGGAGAGAATTACTGTCCGGTTGATAGCGTAAGAAGAGGCTCAAACACAAGGTCGAATTTATTAAATTAATTTGTTGAAATTTAATTTATTAAAATTTGTATTCTTCAAAAAATACGCGTTTACACGTGTGCAGGCCACTACTGATAAAATTTGTTCCAGCTCAAGCTAAGCCGACTGCTAATCGGACGCGATTGTCGCTAATTGGCACATTGTCACTAATTGAGACATCATTCACGTTACCGGTGTTGGCGCCGAGTCAACATTTTCCACCAGCAATTTAATGGATTTCGGAGACCTGACTTCCGCGAATCTCAATTTTCCTCAAAGCCGGATTCAAGCGACTCGAATTATCCAGAAATTATCCGAGTAGCGCGATTTTCAGCCTGCGAATCGGGGAACCGATTTCTGGCGAAACAGGTATACTCGGATACTCGAGTACCGTATGAGTGAATAATATTCATGATGGCCTCTCTTCAGTTCGACTACGTTCCTCCGACGACGGGATGTCGCGTCGCGCTTACAAATCGTCATCGTCATCGTCGTCGTCGTTGTTGTCGTGGTCGTTCCCTCGAGCCGGCCTGCAGGTGAAATTCTATTTTTTTCTTCCGCTCGACGACAATGGCGAGAGCGTGACTGTTGTTCGCAGCTTGCGCGAGCTCCGCGAACGTGCGTTTGAATACCGCGCACGTAGCGCGTCGCATCGGCTCGCACATTTAGCCCGTGATTCATATTAATGGAACCTCCTCTGCGCTCTCTCTCTCTCTCTCTCTCTCTCTCTCTCCCTCTCTCTCTCTTTCTCTCGCCCCCTTCTTTCTTTCTTACCTCCTCTCTTTCTCTCTCCGCGTGTGACGCGGTCTGGCCAAGTCGCCGCTAATAAAGAGTTCGACGGCGTCCGCGCGCGGGATGTAACGTCCTCCTGCGAGCCGGCTAGCCTCCGGCGAGTGTTTGTTCAAGGCTCGCGAAAGGCTAAAACGCGAAATCTGGTTTGACCACGTCCGCTAATTTCAGACGCGAGAACGAGAAATCTATTTTTTCGTTTATTCTCGAGAGGAGCGCCTCGCCGCCGGTGCGGTGCATTAAATTCGTCAGAGGGAGGGAGAGAGGGAGGTTCCCCCCGCCGCTTGACATTCCAGTGCGGCTCAAAGCTTGTCCTGTTAGGGTTTCACTCTCGCGTTCAAATATGCACGATACTTCACCCTCTCCCGAATTTTCACTCTGTGATTTATCCTCCTTGACATTAACGGAGCAGAGCGCCCGAGCGTTCGAGATATCCGAGACCGGTTTCAAGCCGAGAGTTCAAAATCGCGCGAATCCGGAGGATCCGGATGGTTCGGATTCAGATCCGGGCCGGGATTGAGGTTGGACGCCATTGAGCCAGATGAGTTGTCAGCGGGTTGTTGTTGAGAAATATTGATTCATCGATTACCAAACTTTCGACGGGTCTTTTCTTGGAGAGATATTGGTGGCTTGATTGATTGTCGAAATCTTGACAGAGAGATATCTATTATAAGATCCATTCTTTCCAGCTGACCAGGCTGCGCTCTTCGCCTTCTCCAGGAGGAAGACCGAAGTTTCAACGCGACACTGGTTCAGCTAAGAAACGAAGAAAGAAAAGATAAACGAACAGCTTTCTTTTCCGCGCAGGCACACGCGTATGAAGCAAGGATATGAAAATCAAGCAAACATCTACTCGCTTCCTACATAGCGTGCAATTTTCCCAATCGCACATTTAATTGCAGTTTTATAATATTCTCGAACGGAGAACGGGGACTCTTCAGTGTTGAACGCGCGATAACGAGTTTTCCTAAAGAAATGAGCGTCGAGCACTCTTCGGGAGCCGGAAGATACGCTCGCTGGAGGCACAGCCGTGTTGCTTACAAGAAACGAGATAAACTGAGCAATCGCCTCTCTCAATCAGCGGGGAATGACATTTTTCCCGCTGCATCATTACACACAGCCATCAATCCCGACGTAATCACCTTTCCCCGAGGCGGGGAAATTCCGTCGTTATTCGTTATCGTTCGACTAATAATAACCCGAGAGGATCCCCGAGCCGCGCTCGGGCGATCGAACGAAGAAAGCAGAAGAGTTCCCCCGATCTCGTCAGCGATCACACCGTCCTCTCATTTTGCAGTGCGTCGACGAGTTGCCCCCGGAGATGCGCTCCCTGCTGAAGCTGGCCGTGGACCTGCCGCCGATAGCCCGCGCCGCGGTCTCGGGCGTGCTCGGCGCGCTCGGCCTCATCATCCTGCTGGGTGCCCTCATGTGCCTCGCTCGCGCCGCCAAGCGCCAGGAGAAGCTGCACCTCAGCAATCCGCTGCCGGCGAACGCGACCAACACCAAGAACACCAAGAACGGCCAACTGAACCCGGCCTTCCAGCACTCCAAGTAGATGCATCGTGAGGAATCGACGAGTGCGAGGGCCGACGTGCGCTCTCTCTCTCTCTTTCTCTCTCTCTCTCTCTCTCTTTCCCCCTCTTTCCCCTTTCTCTCTTCCCCTCCTCTCTCTCTCTCTCTCTTCCCCTCCTCTCTCTCTCTCTCTCTCTCTCTCTCTCCCCCTTTCTATTCCTCTCTTTCTCTCCGTCTGCTCTCTGTCTCTCCCTATCCGTCCGTCCGACCGTCCGTCCGGCTCGCGCGACCGCGACGAATCGGCGCGAGTGTCGCGGGGACTTGTACGATAATCCGATTAGATTCTTCTGTTAGATTTAGGCGACGGGCATGCTTTACTATTTTTTTCATTTTAGGATCTGCGGTGTTAGATGTGTGCACAAGTTCGTGCGGTCCTCGTCTTTCGCGCGCGGAGGAAAGAGCCCGGCTGAGCCGACGAGAGCGGACGAACGAGCCGAATGTGTCCTACTCGGGGGAGGGGGGGGGGGGACGGAGCTTCCGGCTCTTAAAAGGAAATACATTTCGCCGGAAACGGGGATCCTCGTGTTCCCCTCGAGCGGAATGCGCTCGGCTCGCTCATTGACTCGCGATCGCTCAACCGGTCCTGTTTCTTCCGCGCGGGTTTTTGCTTTATTCGCGTGATTTGATCAAATATTCTGGAATCTGAAACGAGTGGCCACACGGGGCAGGGAGATTGGTTGAGTTTTGACGTGACAAAAGGCGTTCTGCTCGAGAGGAACGGACTTTCTACGGTCGTAGAGTGGAATTAGAATCGGAGCAGCAGAGATTCTGTTTCCTCCGATCCCAAAACACGTTCGGTTCGGTTCATTGCCGCGTTGACTCGACCAGAGTCCGTTTTCTCCGTGTACTGAATGGAAAACCTGACTTAAAATATTTGCTCGTGCCTTCTATGATCCTCTGCCGTCCCTGCCGGCGGCGGAAGGTTATGGAAAGCGCGCGCGCAAACACTTAAATCCCATAAAAATCCATAAAATCACGATTGACGCGAGTTACGAGAATAAAGCGGATATCTGCGACACGAGGATCCGAACTTTTGCCCACGTATCTAATGTTTGACGTATTTTAATCTCGCGACGCCGAGAGAAAGAGAGAACGAGACGCGTGGCTCTCTTTCTGTCGCGCGCGGAGTTGTGAGAACGGCGCGTGTTTGGATTATTCGTGTGTTTTGCTCCGCGATTCTCCCGAGGCGCTGTTTTGCCAGACGGGCGCGTGAGTACAGAAAACAATTCGCAAACGACGGTTATCGCTGCTCCCGGATGACGACGTGGTCGAGAAACGACGAATTTGGTGTCGACGGGGCCGTCTTGCCGGAGCAGAACGTCGCGACGACTTTGCGAATCGATCGCTTCCTCAGCGAACTTATCTCGCGAAATCGCAATTTCTCCATCCGCGCAACGAGTCTCGTGGCCACCAAACTCGAAATCACATATTCCGCCTGAATAGAAACCTGGAATTGGTCGCAGAACGGAGTAGTTTTTCGAATCTAGCGAACTAGATAAAATTGTATTTAAGTTCTCGGATATTCAATCGCCATAAATCAATTTCGGTCAATGCGAGGCGTGCAAGAATGTGTTGGTAGCCGGTAATGACAATAATTGTTATAATGATTATATATATATATATATATACATACACATAATATATAATTAAATTATTATAACAACTATATATGTATAATTATTGATAATAAGAATTATCGTAACGATTATATGTGAATAATATTAATAATTATTATAATAATTATACCGTTGTAATAATTATTATAATAATAATATCGTTATAATAATTATTATAATTATATCGTTATAATAATTATTATTCGCTACCGACATCCTCGTGCGACTCTTAATGGCGAGATGAATTTGTAGTGATCAACCTTGACCCTGACATCAGCACTAAGCGACCTCCCGGATATGCTGTTGTGGTTTCTCCCGCTCCAAGTTGCGCAAGAGCCACGTTCTGAGTTTTGAGTGCGTAAAACGCAAAAGGAAATAATAATTGCAACTCACAAGTGGTTATTCAATAAATTTCGGATGAATCTCTTGTTAACATACGTCCAATAGCGCGATGTTGCTCAAGCACGTGGAAACGAGCGTGTTCTCGTCAGAATTAAATCAACCCAATGCACACTTCGGTGACTCAAAGAATTTATGAAAATCTTTTTTCTATCGTCTCTTTTTATCGTCGTCAGGGGCACGTCAGAATCCAAAGTTTATTAACGAGTATTTCTCTATCCAGTATGACGTTCGTATTACGAACGAAAAAAAAAAAAAGAAAAAAGGAATCGCTCAATCGCGCGGTTGTATTTCGGGGAATTTCGCTCGGTTGGAAATTTTCGACGCGTCTTTCTTTCCCCGCCGAGACGAAATTTGACTCGAGCCACTCGCTCGTCGTTCCGTGATCGAATCGCTTCAGGACCTTCGATCGCGCGGACGATTATCGTCGTGAGAATACTTACGTAAGATCGAAGAGAATGCAAATTGACATTCCGTCCAGGACGTGTCCCGAGCTCCGTCGACGACTCTGATCCAGTCGGCATTGCTGCCGTCTCGTCGCGACGACGAGGAAATTTGCAATCGGTAATGCGAGACACGCGCTCGCCGCGGCGTGCAGAACGAGGGAAATTTTTCTTGTAAATACAACTTGGCCGTCTATACCGGTTGTAATTATCACGAGTGTACGATTTCTCGTTATTTGTTTGTACACATGTATTACTATTATATTTTATTATTATTATTATTATTATTATTATTATTATTATTATTATTATTATTATTGTTATAAGTAATACTGTGCGTAGATTATAATTAGACGTAAAATAAATCCACTTTTGTATGATATAGAAATCAAAGGATGCCAAATGTGAATTGCGCTCGCGCGGAATCGGATGTTATCGGTGTCATTGTAATCGTTACGTGTTATGGTTGTAACTCTCTTTCTCGGCATGTATTCTATCTTACTAGACTCTAACATTCGCGCGTATAAATCTTGTAAGAGAGGAAGCAAAAATACGAGACACGATCGAGAGGAATCGATTTCCCGGCTGGCTTCCTCTTTTTCTCCGTCGGAAAGACACTTCACTTTCTCTTTTCTCTCTCTCTCCCCCGAGAGAGAATCTGCCTCCCTCGTGTTCTCGCTCATTCCCTTCGTTCCGCCGGGAAGAGCGAGGGAAGAATCGAAGAGTCGCAGGCTGTGATCGCGATCCCGATCGCGTGATTCCTGCTGACGACACGCGCGATATCGCTGACCGCATTATCGCACGTTCGTCGAAGCGCGCGAGCGGACGGCGAAGAGGGAGCGAAGAAACGCGAGCGATGCGAAAACAAGTTTTCCCGCCGGCGGAGAAATTTGCGGCGCGTGTACGAATTGACGTTTTCGCTCGGGCGTTTTCTCGGAACGTTTCGCGCGCACGCAGGGGTTATCGCCGTCGCCGCTGAGAGAACGCGCGACGATGAAACGCAAATTTCCCCCCGATGCATGTATGCTGACGATTTGAAATAAATTAAGTATGACGGGCGAAAAGAGTGAGGAGGTCGCGCAATCTTTTATGCTTCGCGCGTGTTTTAACACGCTCGCATGAATTACGACCGGCGATATTCCCGCGGAGGAGGAGGAGGCGGAGGAGGAGGAAGAGACGGTTAATTTGCGACTCGTGCGCGAGCGATCGCCGGCACCTATCTAAAAGTAACCCGACGGAGATCCGGAGCTTTAAATAAACGCGACTTCTTTCTCAACGTCCACCGAGATAACGAATTTCCGCTTCGTGTGCGCGAAGCAGAGATAACGTCGCAGCGCGCTCTTCTCTCGTCCCTCCCCGTCGAGTCTTCCGATGGGAGTCGGGCAGTCGGGAGTCGAATAGAACGGGACCAATAGTTGCTCTTAAGCTTTTTATTAGAAAAACAAAGGAGATGTATACATACACATACGCACGTACCTATCGGTTAAATATCACAAGTACAATCGCATCGAGGGTTACGACAGTCACAAGAGAGCCCAATGAAACTTACGACGCGTTCGTCACCGCGAACTCGAATCGAAAGTCACTCGTTGTATATAACCTACGCTATATATCTCCGGTAAGCGTGCTTGACACACACGCTTGCGCCTTTTCCGCGTCGCACGTGCGCGACGCTGGTCCCCGGCGAGAGATCTCCAGGTGAGACGGAAATCACGACGACGGCGGGAAAATGACGAGGGAACCTAACATATATCAGCGGAAAGTCTTTTCGTTTTCCCCCGTGTTCTTCGCTTGGCTCAAACCATGCTGCCATCTTCCAAGAGCAAGTTCGATCTTAATGAAAATTGGTACACACAATGGAGAAATGTTGTTAACTAATCTGGAATTTAAATTAATTCTGAATTAAAATTCAGAACCCGGAACTAGAACCACGGAAATTGAGGGCTTTAAGCTACGAAAAGACTTTCCGGTATCCCTAATAAATATATGCGAACGGCACGAGCGACTGTAGAATTGAATTTTCGATCGCGAGATCCGATCGTTCTCGACGTTGTCGTGACTGCCCGTCCCACCTGTGGTGGGTGCGTCACGCATGCGTGACGCTGGTAGCGAACGCGTCAGAAACTACCACTACGTTTAAGACACCCTAAATCGAGTTAGTCGGTTGAGTCGAAATAACGAGCCCGCTGATTGACGGACGTCCGCGCATCGCGAAGCATCACCGCGATTAAGTACGATCGTCTCTGTCGCACGTCGGCGACGCGCGTTCGTTAATAACATGACGAATGCAAACGCCGCATTGCGGGGCGGATCGCGGCCGTCAGCGTAATTACCCATTATTCGACGTGCGCTAAAGTCTCAATCACAGCTTGGCCGCGTTGTTCTCGAACCGTGTGTGTGTGTGTGTGGCCCATATTAATAATCGTTACTTGAAAGTTGTTTCAATCGCACTCGCGAACGTCGTGTCGTAATTCGACCGATAACACATTACAATTCAAGACACTCGAATCCAATTGTAAATTCAGATTTAAACTCGTATTGATACTTGCGGCAAGTGAGACGCACAGATTGAATCAGTAGACTTCAGTTTCTCGGTTAAATCGCAACTGCAGATGTAAAATGTATATCATGTTATAATTGAACTAGATAATTCTAATCCAATTCTTACGTCTCAAGTTCAATATTGATATTTAGAAGTTATCTCGAGTGAGATACGCGGAAAACGTGCAGTGGTCCAATAAGAGCATTTAATTTCCGAGAATTAGTCAGAAACAAGTTTCCTCGCTTACGGTTGAAATATGCGATTCGTGAGATGACTTTCAAGTAAGATCGTCTGTTGATATTATTACGCTTATGTGCGTGTCTCTTTCCTATATTTTTTGTTTGGCCGATCGCAACGCGGTACGTCAACGTATAAAATGCGCGTGTTTGCCCCCTTTCCCCCTCGTAGAAACTCCTCATCATTTGTTCGCGGGAAGTTTCGCGAGCGAATTTCGTTTCGCGACCATCCGTCGCGAAGGAATCAAGTGAGCAACGCTGTTTTTTTTTCCTTTTTTCTTTTTTTGGCTTACACTGTTCTCTTAACGTTTCTCTCAGCGAGTCGCCGCGAGAGCGTAGTCCCACTTTGTCCCACCTTGCTGAGGCCCGGTGAGTTACTGGGCGAACGCTCGGTCAGAGTACAAGACACCGTCAACGGAATATTCGACACGGCCGAATAATACTTGCACGCGCGCTTTCTTCGTGCGGATTCGTCGTGCGGATTGTACTCTGTTGTTATACGACCGAGTCTCTTCGTGTGTGCCAGCCGGCCCAGCTGCGCGTTGCCTTCGAATCGCGCGACGCAAGCTCCACGCAAAAGCGTCCCGAATTCGCTGCTCTCGACCGAGCTCACCGACCGCGCAACTTTTCCCCTAGGCTGAACACGCGAGGAATGGAAAACTTCGCGACTCCGCAGTTCGGCAGAATTTAGCCGCCGTGAAACTTTGCACTTTCCCGTTCTCAGGGAAAAGTCACACACGACCGCTGCCCAGAGCGGCGATCGCGCGGTTTTTCCCCAGAAGTGGAAACGTCAAAGACTCTCCACACCTCCATGCTTCTTCGACAAAGTTACACGATCGCGTCGGATTCGCACGAGACCGTTCACTTTTCACGTTTCCGCTCTTAAGGGGGAATTCGCGAACCCTGCTGCTGAAGGAGTCTTGGGACAAGTCTTCAGCGTCTCTCCTTCTGAAACGAGCGGTCTCCCGTCTCGTTCGGTTCCTTCCTCCCCCTTTTCCCGCCTTCCTTCCGACGAGCTCTGCCGACGATTAGCTTTCGAGCAGCTGGTGTGAATTGAACGAGTTCATCTGGAGACCCACGTCCGGATGTTCCATGCGGTGCTTCTTGAAGCAGACGAGCAGCGCGCCTATGGAGAGGACCATGCCTACCAGGCTGCTCCACTGCACGGCCGCCTCGATGACGTGCAGGGTGAAGGTCACCATGTAAAACATATTCAATACGTTCTGCGGAAAGTCGGTGTCGTCCACTCCTACGTCTATCCAAAGGAGAGGGAGGATCATGCCATTTTGGAGTCTGCCCAGCTGAGGCTGACCCGGCCCTTTCCGCACCTCCACGTTTATCTGAAGCTTCATCCAGCCGGCCATGGGAATGGCGATGTCCTGGAAACGATCGATTCGACAAGTCGATTTTTGCACCCCCTGCTACCCTTTAGTCGCGGGGCGAACGGCTTAACCAGCAGCCCGCAGCTCGCTACAGCAACTACTTAGCGACTACTTAGAGAAGCGCCAACTTCGACGGCGACGTTACATCAATATTAAAACTTCTCTCAACTTCGGCAACATAATTATTGCACATTATATGGAATAAAAAATAAGATTTGTTCGTCGGTGTATTTATATTTGAAAAATACTTCGTTGAGGTTTTAACACTTTATTTATTCACTTATTTATTAAGGAGAAGAACTTTCACTTATTTACCAACGGGAAGAACTTTCAAGAAAATGAGAAGGAGAACATATAATTTATAAAAGAAAGTATTTTTTAATTTTTACGGGAGAAGATTTCTAAGTCATTTTTCACACTCCAGATTCTGATATTCCTTTAAGCCTGATTACTTACCGGATGCACATCTATGTAGCTATCGTGTTCCTCCGCGCGGGGATGCAAGCCGTCTAATTTCTCCATCAGGGACTCCTCGGCCCTGAAGAAATGCGGATGGGATAACAGTATAGGCATATTGGAGCACCTGGTAGTGTCGAAGAGTCCGCGACGCGGGCAGGATCTCGAGGTGCCTTCCTTCTGGCAGTAGCACTTGCTCTGCTCTTTCGTGAATTCAAACGTGTTCGGTGATAGTTTATACCTGGAACGAGAGAAGGATTCGCGTGCAATGAGGAGACGCGATCGCGTTTGCGTATGATCGTTGCTCAACGTGATCAGCATCGATTGTTACCTCCAGGTGAGTATGTTATGGTGGGTCACGGGCTCGGTAAACTCGTAGGATATGCTCTTGCACATCTCGCTGGAGTACATTTCCAGGGTGTTGTTTCTGTTGTTTAGCAAATAGGGCGAGAAGAAGGTGCCGTCGGTGCCTTCGATCTTGTTGCATCGCTTGTCGCCCCAAATATTATTGCTGGTATGGCCGTTGATCTGCTCGTACCTACCAAGCTTCTTCATGTCCTTCGTCCCGCTGTTTATCGTGATGCGATTGCTGTTTATGCCTTGTTTCTGCAAATGAGAAGGTGCGCGTTTCATGTTAGTGCGAAACGATCACACGGGAGAGAGAGAGAGAGACACTCGGTTCGCGTGACTGATTTTATATTCTTGGTTTCTTATTTTTGATCCTCGGTGATTTCCTGTTTTCCGGGATCAGACGGGGAAATCGGTCAAAGTTTAGTTATCGGTCAAAGTCTCCAATAAACTTTAACACGCACACGGTCAAATATTTAAACAAATATTTTAAATCGCATTGAAAAAAGCGTTATATATATACTTATATAATTATATAAAATCTCACATATAATAATATATATAATTATATATATATATATATATATATATATGATTATATGTAATTGTACAATTATATAATTTCACATGTACATGTATATACTTATACATAAATTATATATTATTATATATAATCCATGTATGAAAACTTTGCCTCTATAGTCATGTAAATAATTATATATATCCGCAGCGAGAAAACGCTGTTGAGTGAAGAAAAAAAATTGTTTTGCAATAAACACAAGCAGGTACTTCAATTGTATTTGCACAGCAACATTTCTCTCAGCGTGAACATGTATAATTGGGTATCTTTAATATAGCCGTGTGATGCGTATTATCTTGTATCATGATCATTCTTTTCATTTCCCGTTATCGATTTTCCGGTTCACTCATCGTTCAGTCATACGGATACCGAAATGTTTTCTCCCACGCTTATCGTTCCCCGGGACTTATCGTTCACGTGTTCAACTGATGATCTCGCAGTTCGATCACACTTACCGTAACAAATAACCCAAACTTCTCCATCTGCGTATCCTGCTGGAAATTCACGAACGGCTTCATTATGTCAAAGAGAGAGTCGTCGTATCCCCAGAAGTAGTCGGCGGTGTTGAGGTGAAGGAACGGCCGCTGGTTGAGGGACGTCGACAGCGCGGCGAGACTCAGCCGGGTGACGAAGGGCAGTTTATGGACGTACGAGCTGGTCAATATCATCATCATGTTCGGCACGACGATTTTGTCGTCAATCTCGGATCTGCCGCCTACCCACTCGTAGGACTTGCTGTCTTGGTAGGTTATCGTGTCCTCGCCGACCTCCACGTTCACGCGATTCTTCGTCTCTAAGTATATGTACGGCCCGACCTCTTCGACGCGCAACTTGTCCGCCCGGTAAGCCAAGAAGTCCTCCGTGTTGGTGTAGTTGAACACGTGAACCTTGAAGTATATCTTCATGGGAGGGTTCTGCCACATAGACATGGCGTAGCTACCGTTGCGTAGCTGTAGCTGCGAATACACGTAGTCCTGCAGGTAGTTGGTGTACCAGAAGATGTAGAAGGTGCCGAAGCTCACGAGGAACACCCCGAAGTACAACCAGGCGGGCCAGCTGCGGAAAGGACTACGTCGGGCGCAGCGCGCCACCGATGTCTTCTCCAGGTCCAAGTTGGTCACCGTGATCGTCATGTTGCTGCAGTAGACGCCTGTGGAATCTACTTTAAGAGATCCTGATAGCCAACGAGGATCGAGAGTCGACAGGAGGACAGGCAGAAAAAGAGAGAAATAAAAAAGGAGAAGAAGAAGAAGAAGAAGAAGAAGGCAGCTGATGAGATTCGCCAAGTACTCGGCTTCACACACGAGACTGAAGAGACGGGAAGAGGCAGCGGATCTTTCGTAGATGAGTCTCGCGACTGGTGATAGGAAGAGACGGCCGGCACTGGAAATTTCGACTGAACCGAAACGGCCGCTGCGCAACTAGATAAGTCGGTATCGACGGAAGTGCCTAGTCGTCGTCGTCTGTCGGCGGCGGCAAATAAACTGCCGGCGACGTTTTCGTCGGACTGGCTCTTAAGCCGCACTGACTCCGCACGAAAATCCCCCGCCTTCTTTTTAACCGCCTTCTTTTTAAATTCAACCGCTGATAACCTTGCTGCGGAGGTGACCCCTGATGGCCAACACCTCCGATAAGAGTAGCTGGAGTGTAAATCCGCGGCGCTCAGCGCAATCGCGCGCCCCACCGCGCACCCTGCCGCTAGCAGCGCGGCTCTTCAGGTATTCGGACGCGATTTGCGCCCTTGAGCGACACCTGAGATGCGGAGACTCGGAGATCAGGTCGGTGAAGAAAGACGGCAGAAAGATCGAACGTAGAATCGGCCGGCTTCTTGGCATCGAGTTGGCGGTTGGGCAGGTCGGTGTAAAATTCCGGACTGATCGACTCGGAGATTCGGAGAAACCTTCAGCAGGACGAATAGCAGATGAACGACACTGACATTCGATAGCATTATCAAGGTCCCCGCTGGGATATCGGGACTGCTTTACCTCGTGGCGAAGACGCGCAATCGCCAGCTCGATATCGCGACTTTATTTTCGCACCCGCCAATGTGGACGCAGCGCGGTGCTCGTATGATCCGTTATCGTCGACGAAATTCGGAGGCCGAGGGCTGCGTCGGCCGAGTCGTACGACATGTTTTTATCACCTTCAGACGACCAACAACATGATCCGAGATATCCGGTCGGCCAGCCGGCTGACTCGCCGAACGTAGAATCTATTCGCGTGCGCGCTTATGGGAAGGCGAGCAGTGGACCGAGAGGGTAGTCAAAACATGATAAACCAAGAGATCTCGAGAGTTTCCTGCTCGTCCAGACGATGTTAATTGGCGACCGCTGAGTGAGAGCTTTTGTATGTAACGGGATGAAGAGACAACACTTCCTTCCTCGCGTTCGTGCAACGAACGAGCGAGCGGCGGTTTGATGAAATTGCATGGCAATCTGGATGCGAGATCCACCTTGAAAAACGCACACAATTCTCATTCTTCCTCACGGACCGACAATTTTCTTTTACTTCTCAAGATGTTCGACCTTCGAATCAGCGTTCGCGACGCTCGACACCAAAACTATCAAAGCAGCGGTGAAAAATGATCGGTTCATAATGTTTATTTATTTTTATTTATTTATTTATTTATTTGTAATATACGGGTCTGATCCCTCTGGTGTACAGTAGTTGAGACAAATAGTATAACGAGCAAGAAGATTCTCATACAATAAATGGGGAAAGAAAGTAAAGAGAAGAAAATAAAAGAGAAAGGAAGAAAGAAAGAAGAAAGGAAAGGAAAAGAATAAGAGAGAAAAACAGGAGAAACAAATTTCATTTTATCCTCCTTCCCTCCTCCCTCTCCCCCGCCTTTCCTCTTTACATAAGTTGCAGAGTCACAAGTTACGCATTGTTGTGGTACGGATTAATTTAGACCTATTTCTCGCAAAAATCACTCAAATTCGAGTATAACGATTTTTTAATGGATTTTTTAATGGATGTTGAGTAAAATTAACACACAAAAAATAACCAATTATGCGTATATAGTACGTGTTCTTTTTTTTTTTCAAAAATTTATTTCGAGAGCTTCGGCGGAAACGGCTCGCGTCAGCCATCGGTAGTTCTTGGTATGCCGACTTCGACGACGATTTCGTAAAGTTTCACTTGTCCTCTGTTCAGGTAGACAGAGTCAATGGAAACCACACTGCATACGTACATATCTTCGTGAAGGACCCAGAAGGACCCTCACGATAATGGCGCGTGCCGATATAGAACATCGATAATGGAGAATCTAGTCATGCGCCGGGCGCGTGAATCTCATAAAAAGGCGGTCGAGATTCCCCGCTTCTAATGCTTCTTGCTGTCTTTCTCAGTAGAGATAGGAAAAAAGAAAGCCACTTTGTCATCAGTATATTGCAACTTCTATCGCGACTTCTATCGAGACCACAGCTTGGACAGTTATATAAATATCTTTAAGTCCGCCGTGTACAAAAATACCGCGCGACGATCTGACGACGATGCACATTACGAGGCAATTTCTAGGAGCGTATCTCTCTCTCTCTCTCTCTCGCGAATTTTTGCGGTCTCACGGATCATTCTCCTGTTTTTTTCTTCCGGAATTAGCGAGATAGGAGACCAAAGTCGCGACGGCGAACGCGTTTCGCGCAGCTTTGCGTCGCGTGCGCCGAAAGTGCGACACGCAGCGGGCTGGTTGTTCCAACTTTTTGGTAAATTAACCGATAGTTAAATCATATGTTTATCTTTGTTTCTCCTTCAATTCAGACAAAGACGGACGTACGATTTAATCATCAGTTAACTTACCAAGAAGTTGGAACAACCGGCCCAGGGTCGGTTGTTCCAACTCCTTGGTAAGTTAACTGATAGCTAAGTCATATGTTTATCTTTGTTTTTCCTTCAATTCAGACAAAGACAGACATACGATTTAACTATCAATTAACTTACCAAGAAGTTGGAACAACCTGGCCGCACTGTTCCCCCTGTCGAGTTCACAAGCGGGACGTCCTCGTGGTCTCCCGAAACTCGGCCTCGGTTTCCCTCGCGATCGCGATTCCATCTCGACGCGCACTTTTATATCTCGTTCGCCCTGAAGAATCGAAGTTACGGCTCAAGTGCTCAAGTCGTAAACGCACGCCTACGCCGCTCGTTCTCGCTGTAACTCATCGTTTCGTTCGTTACTTCGCTCCGACGCGAGCCTATTCGGAATTATCGGGGTCTCCCGTTAGAAATCGCGAGCATCTTCGTTCCTCTTCCTTCGCAATCCAGGTCACGCGGTCAGAGAGTATACCCAGTAAACAGACGCGTTCCCAATAAATACCAACCCAATAAATATCAACAACGTTATAGCCATGTTATAATTCCCCATTCCGCGACGCAGTACAATTGAAATTGGACGTCTCTTGGACTTTCTTAGTCCGTCATGTCGCAAAGGTGAGAAGGAGAGGAGAAACGGATGGGAATACTTTAACGCGTAATTGATGAGGAGTTTCCCTTTTCTTCTCTTGTTGCTCTGCTCTCTTTGTATTTCTTCTTTCTTTTCGGACTATACTTGGTATATTGCGCAGTGTTGACTGAAATAACTGGCAAGTCGGCAATCGAAGTTAATGAATCAAATGTAATCGCGAATAATTTATCGATGACATTGATTTACTCGACCCGTTGATTTCAATCATTTCGGTCGGCCAAAATTCCAATCGTTCAATGTCTAACGTCGATGCAAATAAGTCACCCCGTTGAATGGGGAATAGAATTGGCACGTTTGAAAAAACCTCGACAGCTGCCGAGAGAGAAAGAAAAAAAAAAAACCGGGAATATAAAAATACATTTTCCCTGCAAGTAGATTTTCTTGAGAAATATATCGATGGATGAGCAACATTTCGTAATCTGGACACTCTTTTAACATCAGCTGGACAGCTCTGGGCATTGACGGACCGCCCGGCAGAAATCTCGAATGTCTGGCGAGCTCCAGTTCCAAGCGGAACGACAAATCATGATGACATCCAAATGACGAGAAAACGACCGAATCATGATGAAAAACTGAGTTTTGCTCGTCACTTTGACGTCATTTTAATGTTATCATGGTATCCTCCTCTGGGCTGCGGCGAGCTGCAACATTGACGCGGCGTCGCCGTCAGTTGATGTTCTCATCGAGTGAACTACAGCGAAGCATCGCGTACACCCAGTCTCTATTGTGCGTATGATCGCATTCCGCATCGGCGGCGCCAACAGCCGACGGCGGTGATGTGGTCCGATTTGTATTTTTCTGCGGCGCGTGCTAATTGGCAGCGGCGTGTCACGAAAGCGCGCCGCGACGCTCTGTCCGCGCTCCGTCGCGAAGTATTGTGCCGTGTTATGACTGGAAGATGGCCTCTTCACCCACTCTCGATCCGTCCTCGTGCGGCCTCGCGTTTCTTTCACGCTACCCCGAACTTACCCGCCGCCCGCGCCGACGAGCGTCGTACGATGATAAGGAAGTCTCTTATCGGCCCGACGTATAATTACGCAAAGGCGCTTCAAGATCGTCGACGGCCAAGAGCGGGAGTCTAAGAAAAGGAGAAAAGAAAGAGAGTGAGTGAGAGAGAGAGAGAGAAAAGGTGTGTGTGTGTGTGTGTGTGTGTACACACACACAAGCGGACGGATAAAATAGATTGCTCGTGGGCTCGTGTCGACGGATCTTATTCGTCGTCGGCGTCGATGTCTTGTCAAATCGATCGACGAGTGTCGTAACATACGAGCGCGGCGATAAGTCCCGAACGATATAATAATGACCCCATGGCAAGGATTTATGAGGGGAGAGATAAGCGCGCCGCGATTTTTTGGAATGCCGAGGCGGCCATGCGAATCCCTCTCCCTCTCGCACGCGAAGTCCTCCGGTACTTTTTCCCGATAGAGAAGTTGAAGATCCGCTTCATCACGTGCGAGCACGGCCTGCGACTCTTGCGATTTTTTCGCCGCCGGCCGCGCGAGCGAGACCTCCTCCCAACGGCGTGTTTTCCTGCTAGATAGTGCGGAGATAAAATCAATGTCAACCCAGTGACTCTCGCAACTCGGCGCTTCCTGGCGCGCAATCCTGGCCGTATCTCTCCGGGACGGACCAGCCGTACATGCTGACACTCGCTAGCCAGATATCTATCTTGTTCCTCCCGAGATTTGTTTTCTTCTCTCTCTCCCCTCCTCTCGCCGACGTCTCCTTCCGAAAACGCAGACTGCGACGATAATCGCGATAGTCTAACGGACTCGCGCATAGATCTTTTTGCGTCTCGTCGGAGTGTACCTTGAGACGGAAAGCACATAACGAGATAACAGGCTCTCTGGACTTCGCGCGAAGTCCAGACGCTACCGACAAAATTAATTAGTCTGCGCCGCCTTATACTGGTCTTCTTTTCGTCTGCTCTCCCCGCCAAGCCTCAACGATGATGCTTCCCTCCAAGTTCCGAAGACGTATACTAGTTCCTCGAAGGAAACGAAAATTATCGCGCGACACGCAAGCTTCCAACAAGTCTGCCTCTCCTCAGATTCCGAGTAATCTGAATTATTGCCGAAGTATCACGATTGTATTCAATTAAGCGAAGCCCCGAATCGCGAAGGACTCAAAGTCGCGGCGCGATACGGCCATTGTTGTGTCGGCCGAACTTGTGACACCTTCTCCGCTGCCCCTTTCCTCTCTCGAGTAAACACGCATAAATTCACGCGTCTCGTCGCAGATTATCGCCTCTCAATTAGACGTGTGTGATTTATAATTACGGATGCAAGAGAGTGACGCGGCCGCGTCATCCACGGGACGAGGGAGGAGGCGAGCGGGGGATGAGGACTTACGTAATGAGACGGTCGAGTGAAGTAATCGAACTATTTGACTCTTTACTCGTACGTTGCGAGAAATACAAAAATCGCCAGAGGAATTCTTTCCCAAGCGGCGTTTGTACTTGTACCTCCTCCCCGAACTCCCTTTCACTAGACTAACTTCGGGCTGCTGGCCCGATTTCAAGACAGGAGACCGGCGGTCATCGCAACCCTCGCTTCGGTCGCTTAGACTGGAGCTACCACCGGGCACGGCTCTATCGCCGGGGTCTTCGAGGTAGTCGGCTGGCTGACTCCGTCCTCCTCCGTGGCGTAGATCGACTTTGACTCCTGCTTCTCTTGCTCACTTCGCCAGTGTACCTGTAATGAGTCGGACATTTGTATTATATTGTATTTTAAAAACTGAAACATACGTATTAACCTACTACTATTGAAAATCTACTATTACTAATGAAGAAAATTTAACATAGAAAGAAAAATTTGTTTTCTCTCCTTTTTCTCTATCTTTTTCTTTCTTTCCTCTCTTTCTATTGTATGAGAATCTTCTTATTCGTTATACTATTGTCTTAATTATTTTACAAAAGGGTTCAGCAGATATTATTAACATTATTAATAAAAATATTATTAATAATATATTTATTAATATATATATATATATATTAATAAATATATATTATTATATATGTATTATTGTTAATATATTATTAATAAAAAAATAAAAAAATAAATAAACACGCTTTTCTTGATATACTCTGAAATAAACTCCACCGGCAGCCTCTGTTCCCTCATTACTAGAAAATACGATGAGGTTGGAAAAGAGTTGTATGAAAAAAGCTATGATATATTCTCGCCGTGTAATGATATATGCGATTGTCAGGAGAGACGATCTCGCGGTGTTGAATTCGTGTTCACCGGAAGATATTGAAAGCACCTTTTGTTTGTGCTGCTTGATGGCCTCGATACACCTGTCCATGACCATGTTTTCCATCAGCACACCGTCCTCCGAGGCGTAAGCTGCCGCCTGCCAGGTAACACCCAGCTTCGCCAACTCTCTGCCGGACATGCCCTCCGTCAGGTCGGCCATCTTGATGCACAGCGCGCTATAGTCAAACTGAGCTACTTTCAGTCTCTTGTTACCCTCGATCGCCGGCTGAAGAACAAACTTGTCGAAGTAGAGCCGGATCAGGCGCTCGCGCTCTTCGCGACCTGGAAGGATAAACTCCACCATCTCGTCCAGCCTGTCGTTCACCGCCCAATCGAACTGCTCGGGCGTGTTCGACGCGAGCACCAGCATGAACTTGTTGCTCTGCTCGCCGGTCCGGTAGAGGAAGGCGTTCAACGTTGCTCTGAGGTCCTCCGAGATGCGCTCGCTCGACCGCTTCCTGAGGAACGCGTCCGCTTCGTCGATGAACAGCATCAGACCCTTTCTGGACGTTAACGCCCAGTCGAACATCTTGTGAATGGCAGTAACACCGTCTCTACCGAGCGGTGCCATGTCGCCGCCTGTGACGATCGCGTAGTCCATTCCCGAGTGCTCCGCCAACTTCTTCGCAAACATGGTCTTGCCGGTGCCCGGCGGCCCGTGCATCAATATGTTCCTGTACATGCCGCGGTTGCGCTTCGTGTTCTTTGTGGCGATCGCGATGTCGCGCAGCCGCTCCTCCAGCTTGGGTGCGAGTATAACGCCTGAGAGCGCATCGGTCTGCTTGGGCTTCAGTTTCTTCGCCGCCTGAATCGGGTGCCGGGCTACGTCCAGCAACGCGAATCTCGAGGTCTCGCGTACCAATGACGGTTTACCCAAGCGGGACTCGATGTAGCGCGTCGCGACGCCGGTCGCACCCTTGGCGGTGTACACCCCGAAGGCCAGCAATGACAAACCGGCGGCCGCTGCGGTGATCTTGTCCCAGTCGCTCAGCAGAGCTTTGGCTCCTGACCCCAATACCGAGCCAGCTGTTCTGAAAGATGTAACGATTATCAAGTCACATACATACAAGTTGGTGCGTCATATGATACATCAATCGCTCACTTTATGGATTCTAAAACGGTAATCCTCTTCTCCGAGGCTTTCAACCTAATTTGCTCAAGATTCAGGTCATGATTCTCCCTGTCGATCTTTGCCTTGGCCCTCAGCTCAGCCTCCAGTTTTCTCATTTCGTTCTTGTGTCTCAATTCCATCTCGTGCTCTATCGTAGCTTTTCTCATGGCTTCCTGCTTAGCCACTGATTCCTCTTGCCTCCTTAGATTCTCATCGTTCATTTTCTGCTGCTGCATCAACTGATCTTCGTAGCGCTTTCTAGCCAATTGATCCTGATACTGTGCCCTCATTTGATGTTGCTTTGTCTCCTCCTGTATGGTTTTCCTCCTCTCCTCACCCTCCACCCGCTTTTGTTCAGATTTGAGTTGCTCAATGTTGGATTCATACTTCTTCATCTCGGCTTGTAATTCCACTTGCCTAGTGGTCTCCTGCATTTTAGACAGTTCCAAGGCCTCTTTCGCATGTCCTATGTGAAGATAAAATCATATTCATTACTTTCGGAAGACCATAGAGTCACTTTATGACTTTATCTTGACTGAATAGCAAGCACAAAAGTATACTTTTGTGCGACAATAGATTTGTATACTTTGACTTAAGAGATTAGTACTCTTACTTTAGAACTATCGATTGTATCTTGTAAAATGTCCTTCCTGTAAAATAATGATGCAATAACAACATCACTCGGCATCACTTACGTAATTGCGCACGAGGTTCTTTCGCGAAAAGTATGAGAGAAAGGAAAATTTACTGGATCGTTCGAGTTCCTTGGCGGCATTGGCGGCACGTTCCAGCGCGGCCGAGTCGAACATGTACGCTTCCATTTGTGACTTGGTCAGCTTCTTTGGTGGACCGCCGCCGCCGTCGTCGCCGCCGCCACCGCTGCCGCCCGCCGCCGGCGGTGGTTGCACATATTGCGAAAAGTCCGACGGCGGCTGCGAATTGCGATATCCGAACAGCCACGACATGTTCTTGCGGTCGATCTGCGTGCTCCAAAGAAGGTTATAATCGCACACCTCTCGTCTTCTCTCACGACACGCGAACACCGGGCTCTGTCACGTGGAGTCCGTTTGGAGTGCAGATGGTGGTTGCGAACGGATGCGCCATCTTTGGACTTTCGGTGCAGCTGTCTCACCACCAAGCATCTTTGCTTCGAAGATCGCTGCAATCGGCAACCATCGGCAACCATCGGCAACTAGCACAACTAGGTAATGGAGATTTCACACTCTATCAACATCTGACTTCCAATGTCCGATATTGAATAGAGGAGAATTTGCGTTTTCGAGACTAGAGATCTGTTCTTTTTCGAAAAACTAGTGCAATAAGTTAGAGCGAGAACAAAATATATGCTTCATTAGGTCTGTTTGCATTGATTGCACTTTTGGCACTTTTATATCTTACGCCTGCTGCACACTGGCTACTCTTTGAGAAAGAAAAACTCTCATTGGCTATCGTTCCATTGAATCGCGTTCGGTGTGCAAGAGGAATTAGATTATAAAAGTGTCAAAAGTGCAAGTAACACGCGAACAGATCTATTCTAACATATTTCACTAGTTTAGAAGTTTCTCGAAAGAGACCCAAAGTGTCACTAGAAATCCCCTGGAAAGTGAATTCTATTTTCTTATCTGTTTTCCTTTGACTTCGCCTCATTTTTAATCATTTCAGACATTTTATGCGAAATTTTGTGAGAAATTAAGGAAGAAAACAAAGATTTCATTGAAGACAAAGGCGCATTTGCCTGATGTATTGTTTGCTTCTTGATAAAGTTCACCTCTCGATTGAGCCATTCAGCTGAGATCTTTCATCATTTCTTATCTATCTGTGACGCAGATCTATCTATGCGTATACGCAGATGGGAAAAAGTCCAACCGTCTAAAATCCCAACGTAGTCAGTAGTATGACTCAACGGCTACTCGGACGGCCAATTCTTGCATAGAGTGTTCGATCAATCGTGAGTGCCGATGTATCGATGACCTCATCCGTCTGCCCGCCCGCGGCAAGTTCGCGCGGCTGCGGTGAGTGTGCTCTTTTTAAATATGGGGAGGTTACTTTTTTAAAGTAATATGTGGAACCTCGGTAACCGCGCTGCCGTGGTGTTGATCTGTGTGACGTGCGGGTGCGTGTTGGTCTACAACGCCTGGGGCGCGATCCTCGGGCTCGTTCTATCGTTGCTGCTGGTGGTGTACGCTTGCTATTCGTTGCTCGCCAACGACAGCCTAGTGTCTCCTCAGGCGTATCACGTACTTGTCTATCTGCGGGAGGCGGTCGTCGAGCTGCGCGCGGCCCTGGATTCCGCTGTCGACCACGTTAGCGGATACACGCGTAAGCTCTGGCACAGTGCGAGCTATTGTTACCGTGAACGTTTCTCATTCAGGATGGACAGCCGACGCGGAAGAGGTAAGAGTTATCAGCTCAGCAGCGACTCTTACGCGACGACTGTGGTCAGAAGCAGGGACTCGTTGACACCGACGTCGCCCTCGTCGGCGGCCAGGTTCAGTCCGATCGACCAGTTGGGCCAGATCCGGCGCAATACTTACCAAACCTCGCGCGACAACGACACCATGTACCACAGGTTTTGTCAAGCCGGTGACCATGAGCGCTCGCAGCAGCTTATTTTAGGCAAGCATACTTCCACACCGGTGCTTCGACCTGGTGACAGAGATGACTCCAGGAATGGTGACATAGGTTTGTTCTCTGCCAAGAGGACTACACCCCTGTATAATCAAAGCCATACATTGAGCCGGGGTGAAAATATCACACAGTTTAGCCCTGATGGCTCTCCGTGGGGTACTAGCATCAGCCCCAAGATGCGCCCTAGACCAGCGGGCATGAAGACAGTCCAGACTGTTGCCGGGCCGCTGTTGGCATCTACGCGATACAATATTGATCCCAAGTAAGTATAATCATATCTATAGTATACTCATTTGCGTTCAAAGAGATAATGAGATTCCTATATAATTTCTTGCAGTCAGAATTGATTTGATACTTTGCGCAATCTTTGTATTTTCTTGACTATAGAGTGTATACAGATGTGTCATCACCAGGACTCACAACAAGGTTAACTAAATATGCTACGGAAGCAAAGAGTAAACTGACTCATCAGTCTCATTATGGTACAGGACAGTTTCCGAAGGTTAATCTCCATGTTAATCCTGTTCCTTTGCTGAATACAAAATCGACGAAGATGAGAATGCCTGTAACGGTCAGATTGGCACCGCCGGAAGTCTCGAGATACTCTCCGCCGGAAAGGCAGAGACTTCTGTCCAATATTCGTCACGCTCCGAACAACAAGTCGACCACGAGCGTTGTCCAGGTATTAAAGGAGATATCGTTGAAGCGACACGCATCGAGGGAGGATGTCACTTTCGATGTGGCTAAGAAGCAAAGAACAGAAGACCTTTTCGATGAGGAAACTGAGATGGTTTTGGAAGAGACCAAGCAGAAACGGAGCAGGGACGATTCTAGGTCGGAGGAGGAACTCTCCCCTCAAAATGTATCCATCAGACCCGCCAAGAAACGTACAAAAACGCGATCCTGCTACGATATCCTGAATTCGTTGAGTTCCAGTGTTCATGTTTCTTCCGGTGTTAAAAGGAAAGCAAGTAAGTATCGAATTATATGTATACTATATATATTATATAACATGAAAATTTAACACATACCCGTTATGTACAGATAGAACGAATCAAATTAAATAGGAAAATTACCATTTTGCATACAATTTAGCAATGATTATTTAAGGCATAATGTGAATGAATGAGCGTACAGAAAGTAAAAAAGTAAGAAAGCTATAAAGATAATTTGGCAAAGCAAAGGTCTCAAAAAACTATGTAAAAAAAAGTATTACATCTTTTACGTAAACGGCCATGAAAGAAAAAAAAACTGCTTCCTGCTTATAAGAAAGATGTCTTACTTCTTAGAATCTGGCAACAGTCAAAATCAGCTAATTGTAAGCGTCGAGGAAAGATGTGTGCCTCTCATGATTAGCTGATACCGTTGCTAGGTAATCTTGAGAAGTAATCATTGAGTCATCTTCGGGTTCTTTAAGAAGAAAGGCTTTCATAAACTGGAAGCCATCTTTGTACATGTCTACAGAGACCATCTTGCTTTCTCATTCATTCATATTGGCGAATCCTTAATAATTATTGTAGTCATTGCTAAAGGAGTCACATGACTTTTCTGTTCAATTTGTTCGTTTTATCTGTACACGACGGGTGTGAGTCTTATTTTTTTTTTCCGACATCATGAACAACTGTATATAATTTTTCCTAATATTATTTTCTCACCGTAGTTGACTTCTCACGCAGCGGCACACCCGACTTCGAGAAGCACTTCAAGTCTCTGAAAAGCACACAGTCCAGTAACTCCAATTCTCCAAATTCGCCAGAGCATCCGAATCTAGATATAAGTCATAGTCATAAACCTGAAATTAAAGAAATACATTCGAGGAGTCCTGAGACTCTTACTTGTGACAAAGTGCAAGAAACACTTTTGACGAAGGGTATACTAAAGACATCTAATAACGAGCCGAGGCTCAATCTGAATAAACCAGTGCCGACGGTCCACAAGAATGCTAGAAACGTCGAAATTGTATGCAGCACCACGTCCCTTGCACCAACCAAGTCCGTCAAGTTGGCGGACAAGCTGTTTATGAGAGACGAGCCCGAGCGGAATGAATTTTTGAAGTTACTCGCGGAGGAGCAGGGCAGCGTAAAGGCTAAGTTTGCGAAGAACAACGTGGAGGAGATAAAGAAAGAAGACATAAGGAATATGAGGCAAACCAGCATGAAAGCGAGACTTCAAAGTATGTTCGATGCGATATCGGGGAAAGGTAAGCATGTATCACATTTCTCTTTCATCCTAACAAAGTGACTCTTCATAGTTACTCTATCGTTCAACTTACTCTAATTTTTTAAAGGTTTATCCATCGACACTTTCGTTAGATCATCTCAAGTAACAAATTCGTTGCTTGTGCTTGCAGCGGAGAGCAAGATCAACCCGGATGTCGTGATTCAAGCGGACGACGTGAACGCGGTCGCGCCGACGGTCGTCATGTCCTCGGCCGCCAATTGCGCGACTCTCAACTCCTCGACTACCACGACCACCGTCAACACCACGCCGATCTCCACCGCGGCCATCGTACCAGGTGGCACGCTCACGTCGAAACCTGATGCAAAGCCTGCTACGACTTTCAGCTTGCCTAGCCCAGCATCGTCAGCACTGTCAAACACTCCAACGATAATCACTCCGACGAGCAAAGAAGCAAACTTGACACCTAAACCTAAAGCAGAGGGACCGATCGGCCAGGAGAAAATCGTGACGACCATGGCCGCGGTCGTGAGCACAGCGTCGCCGGCGAAGGGCCAGTCTTCGACTTCGAGCACAACGCCGACGCCACCGACGTTCGTGTTTGGGAAATCAATCGCGGAAACGCCAGCAACCGTGACATCGAGTCCGTTGCCGAACTTCAGCGCTCACAACGTTCCCAACAGCGTTCTTGCTACATCGACTACCATATTGCCAACATTCAGTAATTTCCTAGGGGCTGACAAGACGCCATCGAGCTCGATGTTCGCGCCTGTAAGCTCCAACGCCGTGCCAAGCGACAAGGTCGAGGCGAACAACGCTGTTACCACGAGCGTGAGCGCTGTCTCCTTCAGCGCGAATAGTCAAGCAAATCCCATCTTCAGCTTTGGTAAGCTCCCTACATCCACCACGACGCCGATACTGAGTTCGGCGTCGAGTTTGCCGTCCCACTTCACTGGAACGTCGTTACCAGCCAGCAACAATGCGACCAACCTCGCTGGTTTCAACAACGTCGCGAGCAACCTGCCAAATAGCACCGCGACGACGACGTCTGCGGCCGTGCAGTCGACCTTGTTCAGTTTCGGAGGTAACAATACCGCCTCGCAGACTCCAAAGTCCTCGGGAAGCATATTCAGCTTAGGCCAGTCGAGCGGCCACGTACAACCCACGAGCGCGTTTGAGAACGTCGCGAGCAGCCAGGCGACGTCGTTGCCGTTGGATACGAGCAAATCCTTCAGTTTTACGGCCAACACCTCGACGGTGACCACAACGAGCGGCTCCTTCGGCGCGAGTCCGACAAGGAGCGCAACCACGACGGCCACACCGGCGTTCGGTCTACCCAGCGCGCCTACCTTCTCATTGGGTACATCCGCAACCCCCACTTCGACCATCAACAAACCTCTCTTTGTATTCGGCAGCAATAGTGTCGCAAACGCGACGTCTATACCTGCCACTACCGCCGGAAGCACCACCGGCTTCGGCACAATCAGCAACAACGTCCTACCTACATTCGGGACACCCAGCACCACCGCTACGCCGCAGTTTGGCCCAGCCACGACTAGCACTCCACAGTTCGGAGCGGCCACGACCATCACTCCGCAGTTCGGAATCACGACCAGCACTCCGCAGTTCGGAACCACGACTTCGACTCCGCGCTTTGGAACGCCTACGACCAGCGCCCCGCAATTCGGCGCATCCACCGCGTCCATATTCGGCACCACGCCGGCTACAAGCGCGACGATCATCTTCGGCACGACCAACAGCCAGTCGGTTTTCGGCACAGGCACGTCAACGCCGGCTACTAGCGGCATATTCAACTCACCGAAGACCACAGCGTCGTCGATCTTCGCGGCCACCACCAGTGTGTCCTCCACAGATAATACGGCAGGCAACCTCTTCTCTGGCGGCGTCAACGCCAATGTGAACGTCAACAGCTCGACCACCGCGTCGTCGATATTCGGCAACGTCGCGACCCCGATCTTCGGCCAGAGCAAGCCGCCGGCGTCTTTCGGCACAGCCAACAGCACCAGCATCTTCGGCAACACGTCGACTCCGTTGTTCGGCGCGACGCAGACTACGAGCGCGCCCACCTTCGGCATCACCAACGTATCCACCACCAGCGCGATCTCGTCCGCCTTCGACAGCGGCGCGAACAACACGACCTCGACCTTCGGGGCGCCCAGCACCGGTGCGAACGCGACGAACACGCCGCAGAGCACGAGCGTAGCCGCTTTCGGCCGCACCACCAGTATCTTCGGCACGGCCGACAACACGGCGGTGGCTCTCTTCGGGACGAACACCAGCCAACCGGCCAGCGGGGCCTTCGCCCCCACGGCGAGCACAGGCGTCTTCAGCGGGCAGAATCCCACGAGTATCGCCTTCGGCGTCTCCAGCAGCGGCGCCACCGCCGGCACCGGCACCACGTTCGGCGACAATAAGCCTCTGTTCGGGACCACGTCGTCCACGTCATCGGGCTTTGGCGGCTCATCCATAGCCACCTTCGGCTCGACCGAGAGCACCGGGAATGCGGGCAACAATGCGAGCAGCATATTCTTCGGCAACAATCAAAAGGACGGCCAGCAGCAGCAACAGCAGCAGCAGCAACAGCAGCAGCAGCAGCAGCAGCAACAGCAGCAGCAGCAGCAGCAGGCCGGCTTCGGCTTCGCGTCCACCTTCAACGCCGCCAGCAGCAGCTCCACCACTGCCGCGCCCGCGCCCTTCCAGTTCGGATCTGCAACCACGAAGCCAGGTGATTGTCGCTGATTGAGAGAATCTGCGGGACTTTGAAGCGCTCGCTATCACGAGTGTGTCACACCAAACGGAGTTCCGTTTTAGATTATTGTTAGGCCGGTGCTGAAGATTTGTCATTTCTCTGTTAACTTCTCTCGTGGGAATCGTTGGGCGTTGAAGGGAGGATAGAAGTCTGCGTTTGATATCTGGAAAATTGAAGGGTTGATGTTCGTTTTATTATGTTCGTTTATTATGGTGGAAATTATGAACTCGTCGGAACTGGGGCTTTTATTTTCATTCGGTAAACATGGTAAACCCATAGTTTGTGCTTTTATATCTTATTTGACAAACACACATATGACAAATCTTTTGCGCCGATCTAATATATAAAAAGAAATACGTATATATATATATAAAGAAAAATGTACTGATAAAAAAGTGTATAGGTTTATTTTCTTTAGTAACGTATCTGTTTCCAAATATCTTCGGTAATGAATATTTTCTTGATAACGGTGTTGCCTCTCACAAAGTTTAGAAAGGTACATTACCAAGCTTGAAAGAAGAATTTATTCTTCAGAAATATTATAGAACTTACTCTCTCTATAAAGAAAGCAAAAACCCGAATTTTATAACTTAATATAATATACCCTGAATTGATTGAAGTATTTACTAGGATTTAGAATATTTTTTGAGTAAATTTGATCTGCTTATGAAGAAATTATGATAGATGTGCACTTGTATTTATGAAACTCTTGAAAAGTAACATTCGCTTGAAAACGGTGTACGTATCTTTGCATACGCCTGTATATACGTGTATATACTTTGTATCAAGTATATACATTTTACATTGTATATATATATATATATATACGTAATTTACACGTATATACGTAATTTAACATATGAATGAATACAGAGAATGATTTATTCGCTGATAATGGTGTGTCAAACGTGTGACGCTCACTTCGATATCTCACAGGAAACTGAAGTCGCAAATGTATGGCAGCGAAAACATGATTTCTGTATTTACATAAACAAACCAAGAGCCTATCTTGGATTATTATATGAAAAGTTGTCTGTGTAAAGAGCAATTTTACAAATGAACAAGATATTCGTCGCATCAGTCGCAGTATCAGTGAAGCTCGCCGAAACTGAAATTAATTATGGGAGACGAAAGATGAAAATTTCCGTGTGAAATCGTCTTTCTCTGCTCTCTATTGTTCCGCCGTGTGATTGTTCGCACGCTTTGCTTACGTGTCGATTGTGGACGCGATTAACGGCGTTATTTGATTTTCAACAGCAACTGGCTTCAACTTCAGCGCACCGTCGCCGACTCCGACCATCAATTTCGGGACGTCCGGCACGCCAGCCTTCAACCCTGCGACTCCCGGTATGTTCAGCATCGGGAGCGGATCCACCGCGCCGCGATCTAGAGCAATTCGCACGAGGAAGCCGAGATGATGGAGAATGTAAACGTCGCGTGTCTGAACGTACAGATTTTCGTTGAATCGCATCGGAGTGTTCTATTCTCGATTTATTTCTCATGTTTTAGGGATGTACGATCAACGCGAGCGCGTACATAGTACTCAATATTCTTTTATATTCCCATTATGAACAAACAAATAAAATGTTGCAGCATATTGCACATACACACACACACACACATACACGCGCGAGCGCGTGCGCCACACACATACACACACACCACGCATATGTACACACGGCGAAAATAATAAGTAACATGTAATAAGTACCGCGCACTGTTGGTGCTTTCAACACGAGCCCACCTCCGTCGAGTGAAACTCGCGTGTAAGTAAATGTTCTTCCACTTATATGACAAAATGTATCAGTACGTTAATATTATAATTGCAGTTCAACGAATAAGTGAAATGTGTTTATGTGTATATGAGTGCGTATGAATGTGTGTATAATGTATTGAAGTGTCGCTCATCATGTAACGAAAGTATCGGGGTGATTGTGGATCGATTTGTACCACTTGCTTTAAATATATTCCAAGCTGTTGAAATTCTAGCGCTCTCTCTCTCTCTCTCTCTCTCTCTCTCTCTCTCTCTCTCTCTCTCTCTCTCTCTCTCATTTTCTTTGTACCATATACCGTAGGGATCTCGTGCCACGAGTATTTTTTTCTTTTTACGACTGAGATGAAAAACCGAGCGGCAGAGCTAATGAGTGTTCATCTGTCTTTTATTAAAAGATTGTAAACAGAGAAGCATGAAGGGCTTAACATGCACTGAAACTAAATTATTAGGATTTACTAATCGTATACGCATCATTGACTAATCGTGTTTGTAGATTCTTCAGAGAAGCGAGAACGACGCAGCCCAAGCAGTATATATAATCTGTTTGTTAGCAAAACTGTACATTATAATATTGAAAAATGAATGTGTACGGTTAGGAAAATACTAATAATCCAATTGTACCACTTGTTAAGGCTATTATACCGAGCTGTATACATTGATGTGTTCGAATTACTGTAAGGTGCGAAGTAATGAAATTACGACAAATTATTGTTCTGTCAGTTGCGTTAATGCCGGTCTAAATTGTTCGAACAAATATATGTAACATTGACGACAAATTATGTACGAAGAGAATAAGAACATTATACTCTCTCACATGTCGCATGTTTTTTTTTTGTTTATTTTTAATTATAATTTCACCTTGCAAACGCCGTTGAAATCACTGCCTTCCGCAACAACGTCGGAAGATAATCCTTCGTGTATACATATCGTGCGTTTACATAATATCGAATTCGAATTTTTTTCTTTATTCATACACACGACGCGACTAACGTTCTTCTCTCTCGTACATGTATTCTTTCGACATCGTTATTTCTGCCTCAAGGGAACTTTCGGAATAATCGAGAAAGTGTAACCATCGGTTTTTTTTTTCTTCTATTGTTTTCGGGTAACAAAACGGTCCCAAAAGGACCATGTTCTTACGTGCCTAGCTTGGGTTTTGGACACTCCGAGTTCTGAACTTAAGCACGTTCGAGATAATTTGAGTTTCGATTCTGAAGCGTTTTGAGATGTCGGAGCTTACGCAATTTACTATGTTTGCTGCGTGATATATGTTTGACGCACCGATATCCCGCGAGAGATTAACGTTACATACGCAGGACAGCGATAATCTTTTTCTAGATCTACGTGAACAAATTCAATTTATTTTAGACCAATACATAAGAGAATATACAAGGCAATTTGTCGAGACGGTCTTCCTGAATGAACCATCATAGCGAACACGTTATTATCTCTAAAGAAAGAGACGAATATTTTTCTATACGTTCCTTTTTATGTATTCAAATAATCCATTTTTACACCATGTATTCCGAAATTCTCATTGTGGTTGTTGTACCGAATATTGATATCCAGTTTAAGGACAGAATAACGTACTGTAACTACTTTGTACTCATACATTTTTCTAACGAACATTTTAACATTTTTAATTGTAGTTTAATTTGTGACCTCGTCTTGCTGATTTGTAATTTGTACTTATTTTATTGCTTTTTGTATGTTAGACATACAATTCACCTCTGTGCCGTAACATGTATACCACAAAGGGATTTATTTCTATAGATAAATAAATAAATAAGTAAATAAATGAATAAATAAATCATATATAGAACTGATGAGTTTGTTAGTTACAACTTATGGTGATTCTTTGTTCGTGAAAACTACCGATGCTATACATGGTTCATTTATTGATGTTACAAATGATCAAAAAGGCACTAATTAATCTGCAATTAAGATTGTTAGAGGATTAATTATATAGTTCATGGACTCAGAATATAATTGCTCAGTGAGATGTATATATCATATGTATATTTTGTCAATACATACATTGAGATATCTTGTTTTAGTAGTTTTAGACTTTCTCCACGTGCTAATCACGTGGTGATGATAACCAAATAACTTTCATTAAATTCCGATTAAATGAATTGATGACCAATTGGAATTATCGATAATGATTTCTTATTAAACAATGACAAAGAGAAAATTAACACTGTGTATATTAACAAAACAAGTGATGTTGGTTTGATAATCGTTCGAATTATACGTCATAAAGGAGGAACGAGAGAAAATTTCTTCTCACACGTTTCAATGACAAACTGCATATTATTTTTGCATGTTGACAATTGGACCGACATTATTTAATTAATAATCTATCAGCTTATAGTATCAGAGTTCGGTGAAGTTCAGCTTTAATATGAAATATATAATGCAATCGAAATAGTTTAAATGCCACATGAAATCTAAGTAGCCAGAGAATTTTGGAAAATGTGATTATGAATAATTTGGAGTAAAAAAGGAATAACCGACAAATATTTTGTAAATTATATGTATAATTTTTTTTTTATTTATTTATTTATGTATAAGAAAAAATCCGTTGTACTAACAAATTATGGGACGAAAGTTGTAGATTCAACAAAAGATTAATAAAATAAGTGTGAATTATAAATTAGCAAAAGAGCCAAAGTAAATTACAGTCGAAATATGTATTAAAAAACATAGGATAGTTGTGTAACACATCACGTATATTCTGTCCATACAGTCTAAACTTGTCTACGTGACACGATATTCAATAGAAATTACATTACATGATTGAAAGACTTTAGCTGGCAAATAGATTCAAAGCAAAAATCATAGTCATTTATATAAGCTACCGACATTCCGAGATACTACGAAACGTTGCAGAGTCATCATTTCGCATATCTTGAAACGTTCCTTGGAGCGTTCGAAAAATCAATAGATTATTTTCTATTGTGCACATTTCTAGAATATTCTTGAAATAGTTTTAGGTCTTGTGTTACCTGCGAACAATAGAAGAAAAGAAAAGCGAAAATGTCCCAGACAGCATATGTTCTCCTGGGGACGTCCTAAGGACTTCCTGATAAAGAAATCTCCCCAGGACGTTCTCTGGACATTTGTGCTATTAGGAGTATTTTCTCTTGCCTGACTCTTCCCAAGGAATCTTTAAAGTAGAAATATCTAAAATTAAATTACACGTATGTATATTCGAGAGAAGAATGCTAGAAGAATGTTAATTGTATCAATATATGTCGATATGACGCAATAATTAGATAAACGTGGTATTGTGAATCATGTAAATCGGAGTGAAAATCGTAGATTTTTACCGGTAGATTTAACCGCGAGATATGAATCTCGGTTATCTTCATTTTGGAAATGATGTTTCAAAAGTTCGATTTGTAAAATAGTTTCAGAAATTCAAAATGAAATTCAAAATTCAGATAAAGAAATGTCTCTCGTTGTTTCTACCTGAAAGTTTAATAAAGAAACAACTACCGAAACAATGCCACGTAAATTCCTCGAGTCTCGAGCTGAATTCCTGTGAAATTGATTAAAAATTTAAGTTCACCCAGTTTTCAATATCGAAGACGACCGTTCAATATTTTCTATATTCAATTTTTCGTCATAATAAAAGGAGTCGTTTGCAATATATTCTCTGCAATCTCCTCTCCCAAAGAAAGTTAAGGTTAGAGAGAAAAGAATGCACAGAAATCTAGGAAAGTAGGCTGCACACCATGAGGAGAAATATCATCGATTTAATAATCTTTTTCTTTCAAGAGCAAGCAACCTATCATTAGATAACTCCGGAAGGACTATACTAGACGTCGATAAGGCCGATAAAAAGATTTTTATCGTCAACGATACTAAGAGATTTCAAAATATACATTCCAGTACCGAAACGACAATTCGACATGATTCGAATTTATGAAATATTCTCCCTCCCCGGTCTCGAAATTTAAGCGCGCAGTACAGAGCGCGTCATAACGTAAAGCCTGACCGTGACGAACCGCGTTAATGACGCCGCGCTACTGGTCGCTTCATCGGCGGCGTTCGGCGAGAATCGGGCGTCTCCGTGAAGTTTCAGGCCGCGCGATTGGCGGGCGCGCGGCGGCGAGGCGCTGCGTCGGCCAATCGGCGCGCGCGTTAGAGGGACACGCTGTTGTCTCTCGGTTTCCTGGGCGAACAGCTATGTTTCTAACAGCAGACGGGTTTGAACATCACAACCAAGAGGAACGGTAACATCTAGGTTCGGCAGCGGCGTTTAACATCTAAACACCACGATGGCTGACCCGGAGAAACAGCCCGAACAACCCAAGGCTGTCCAGCAGAAGATGGTCATCGGTAAGTGAACGAAATCTCCCGGCTTTTCTACACGCGACCGAATCGAGCGGCTCCGACGAGACTAGGCGAGGCAAGCCGAACGGAGCAGAGCGAACAACCGACCGACCGAACGAGGCCGTCGTCCCTGCGCCGCCCGTAATGGCGTCCGTACGCTCTCGCGGCGTTTCGTCGCCAGAGACATGTGGCCGGCGGCCTGTGGAAGTCGCGAAACCGCGTTCGGGATGTCTTCGTCGACGTGTGACTCTCGTCGAGTTTTCCGCGCCGGCTCACGCGACTCGTACCTCTTCGACGCGCGGTTTCTCTGCGTTTTTCTCTCTATCTCTCTCTCTCTCTCTTGCTCGTTCGTCCATTCGCTTGCCGCTCGCTCGCTCGCTCACTCGCTCGACCATCGATTTTCGCGGACGCCGCGCTTTCCGTTTACCATTGCGGCGCGCCGCACCGCGTTGCATCGTATTGCATCGTGTAACATCGCGGAGCGAGATATAACCTGAAAAGAGGAGTCGCTCGCGCGGACGTTCCGCATGCGGGGAAGATGTAAAAGATCCTCCCCTCGCGGCGGACCCTTGGCCCTCGCGCGGCCAAACGGAGCACGGCCGGTCAGCGTCGAGCCGAAATACCCGCCGTGTCCCGCACGCGCTTCACGTTTCGCGTTATGTAAGCCTGCGCTCGCCGCGCGCGCGGCTGCAGCAGCGTGCTGCGGCGAGCCGCGCGCTCTCTCCGGCGAGAGAACACGTGCGCCGCCCGGGACGACGGTGCTCCTCTCTCTCTCTTTCTCTCTCTCTCTCTCTCTCTCTCTCTCGACCTGGTGCTTCTTCCGCCGCGCGGCGCGGCCCGCCGAATTTCCCGAAAGGCTGCGTGTCTTCCCACGCGCTCTTCGCGCGAAAACTCGTCGGCCGGCCAACTGGCCGTCCGGAAGTCCACGTCGCGCGCTTCGAGATCGCGGGGGTCTTTTACGCAGCGGAGAGAGCGCGGAACACGTGCTCCGCGCTCCTCGGTGCCTGCTGGGAAATCGCGCGAGTCCGATGGAGTCGCTGCGGGACGCGTTATTTCGGCAAAAATGCACTGAAGCTACGTTCTCGAGCAGGCCCATTGTGTCTCATGTGGTCGGCTCTGGATAACGTGAAAGGCATCAATTACGAGACACGTGGCTGATTTGTTATTTTACTTCGGCATTTATTTTACGTTTTTCGTCGGCACGTTTTATTATTTTACTTCTGCAATATGAAGATTAAGAAAATAAGATTGGGATATTTTTCAACATTCCGATGTAGAATGTCTGTGTACTTTCGGTTCTTGCACGTGTGTGTGTATGTGTGTTCTACGTGGGAAGTTTGAGCATTTGAGTTTGGAGACCGAAACGATAAGAATCGTGTAACAGCTTTGTGCTGAGACGGGTGATACCGTAAATAAATAAATAAAAGAAGAAGATTCGGAGTTCGAGGTACGTCTATTCGAGGTGGTTTCGTCTCGCCACTTTGCGGTTTCGAGGGATTTGAGAAATCTCGGGCACAACATCGCGCGCGGTCGATTCATCGTTCCCATAATTCCGCTGCTCGATTTCGACCTTGTTTGGATTCCGCTCCAAGGTCGCACGCGCGAAACTGTCATGAAGAGACTTATCGTGTATTTTCGTGTCGAGGGGCGAAATCGCGCGTCCGCGTTAGAATTGTTCGCGAGCGGATTGTGTTCCCGCCGTAAATCGCCGCGAATTTCGATCTCTCGTCACGGGAGATGCGCGAAAAAGTAACGTATGCACTCGCTCGAAAACCTCGGACTTTCGGCGAAGAAAGACGCCTCACGTTCGAGCGCCGTCGGATCGGATTTCCGTCGAATTGTGTCCCCGCTGGTCGCGTGGCGTATTTACACGTGTCGAATTTCGGTCAGAGCTAACGGACGGAGCTAATGTTGCATTACTCCCGGAAATATCATTTGCCGCAAGAGCCGCACGATCGTTGAATTGAGATTTCAAAGCGGTCGTCTGCTTGTAAACACGTGGCGATAATATAAGTCCGCGGCAATAATGTACGTCGGATATCTATTATTCCCTTCTCTCAAGGTCGCCCAGGTACCTTGACGATAATATTGTACGCTTTCGACCATTCCTCTCCGTGTATCGTAACTTTGCGAAATTTTCCCTCGCATAATTATCAGGCAATCTTCGAGTCGAGCGTCGCACTTAATTTTTCTCGCACGATTTTCCTTTCTCACGCGCACAGTCTTAAACTTTTAACAAAAATTTACACACGTATGTGTATATGTGTATTTTTTTTTATATATATTTCTGCACGTGCATGCACGCAGAATTTTGCATCATCAGACGAATGACACGTTGTTCTTGCGATTTCAGCTAACAAAGTGACGGGGACTGTTAAATGGTTTAACGTCAAGAGTGGATACGGGTTCATCAACAGGTCAGTAATCATTATAATCATTATTACGCGATTATCCCGCGACCCGTTTTCTCTCCATTTTCTTTTTTTTAATTACTCGCTCGTCTCTACTTCACGAAACACTGAACGAGAAAGGAGTACATATACACGTCCGTCTGGCCGCGTGGGTGTGAAGCTTAGTCATGCGCTATTAATTTAAACGCCTATTTCGCAGTACGGCCGCGAGCGCTGAAGGGACGCTTTGCTCATTCTGCAGCGCCGCTGCATTTTCAATGAAAATCCACTAAACGCGTCGCAAGCGTCCCGCGATTGTGTTCCTCTCCCCGACATCGAGCACTTTTTTCTCCCCCTAAACTCTAACGCGAATTCCGCTCGCAATTGCAGCCTCGACGCCGATAATCGCGCGCTCGAGTGACTTTCGCGATTTCCGACTTCTGCGTTAAGATGTTCGATAAGGACGTTAATCGGCTCTTGACGCTCGCGACTGTTTGCGTCGGGAAAACCTGCAGCTGTGGTCGCCGCTGTAAAGCGCGTGAGAACGTACGTTGATGTCGATAGCCGCGCGTCAGTCTTCTTAGACATATCGAGCAAGTAATTCATGAGACACGGCCGTAACTTCAGGCAAACTTTCGATAAATTTTCAAATAAAGTAGATAAAAGCTCTCTCTCTCTCTCTCTCTCTCTTTCTCTTCTCGATCTCAGCGGCGCATTCCGTCGTTATCGACGCGTCGTCTTGTCCAATCACCACCACGTCGGGAATGCTCGTTCTGTCCGCATGAGAGATAATTTAATTAACAGGAAATTAAGGTAAATTAACAAATCGATTAAGGGATTCGACGCGGCTAATTTACTCACCGCTCATATAGTGAACACGTGTGAGCTGCGATTGCGCCTCTCATGCGATACTGTCCCCGATATTCTTTGTTCTATTTGTTACTACTTCACTTGCGTTATTATTATTTAGTATTGCGTTTGCTGGTCCGTTTACTATTCAATCTTCCGTTTGCTTTTTTATTTTAATCTGTTTTTTTTTTTAATTCTCCATTTGCTATTTTATTTTATTTATTATTATTATATTTACACTATTATGCAGCATTTCGTTGATCCCTTCACTTAATGTTTAATCTTCCATTTATATTTTTATTTTAATTTTATTTTTTATTTTAATTTTTCTTATTTTTATATTCGTTACTTCACTTTATTTGTTGTTTCATCACGTTTAGTGTGTGATATCACTGTTAATTTAACTCTATTTAATATTGTTTTATTCGTCCAGTCAGTGCTTAATTGATTTCTCCGTTTAATCCTTTTTCATTTACTCTTCTGCCTTGAGTTCTTTTAAAATTTTCGACTTATTATATACCCTATTCGATTAATTATCTCGTCATTACTCCGCGACATAAACGTTCGGATCTAGAGCGCGAGTGACCGAGTCAATTAGTCTCGCCGAACGGATAAGGGAAAATACTAGCCGCTAATATTAGGAAAACCGGTCTCCCGTCCCGTCGCAGGTTCGACCTGCAACCTCGACCTGGCATTCTGCCGCACGGAAAATAGACACCTCATTCGGCACGTGCGCGCGGGCACAGGAGCGGCGCGCAGAAGAGCCGCTTCCTCGCTATTTTCGAGGTCCCGTGGTTTATCTCTGGCCGCACGCCAGGAAGTCCTTCGTTCGCGTAGTCGGAGTCGGTGCGACGACAACGCGGCTCCTCGGCGTATCATCGCGCCACGCGCGGGATCTCCACGCGTTTCCACTCGCTTCCGTCGCCGACGAGTCGCTCCCGCGCTCCACGGAAAGCGCCATGTCGTCGCTCCGACGCGGCGCGCTGGAGGGAGAAGAGAGAAAGGGACAGCGGGAAGGGCTGAGGGCTTCCGCACACAAATCGCCGGAACTTTGGCCGCGGAACCAATCAGGATATTGCTTTAGAGTTGCGCACGCCGGGGAAAATAGAACTTACGGTAAATCCGATCGTAAGCATATCGAGAGGAGAAACGTCGATGAAAAATATTTATTTGCCGTTAACACATTCACTGGACAAATTTGTTTTTATTTCTGGATTCTATTTCTTTTTTTTTTTTTCTCTAGAAATTTCCTCATTTTTCTAAGTTCTCTTATCAATTTTTTAAACTTTTGTGGAAAGCTACAGTTAAGGAAAGAAAAAATGTATATCCTTCCATCTGGGGAAAATATTCTTCTCAGTGCAAAAATATATACATTGAATTAAATAAATATTAACGCGCTCAGCGAAAAATTTTTTATCTTTCTGCCGTTTCTCCTCCTCACCGCGGAAGCAAACAAGACTCGACTGAAACAGAATCTCAGCGTCGAGATAGATTTATCAGTATAAATAAGTATGTTTTATTATTACCTACCAAATAAGTATTACCATCTTTTGGGCATTTTTGCAATCAGGACTCGACTGTGGGAGAATCATTGGTATAAACAGTTGAAGTCCTAGTTGCACGATCACTTGTATCCTCTTCCAAGTAGAGCAGTCCAAAAATAATATCCTGATTAGTTCCTCGGCTGCCGCTCATGTCTCGCGCTCACGGTTCTATTTTTCCGGGAAATCCCCAAAGGACGACGCGCGCTCTCCTCGTCGCCGCCGCCGCCGTCGTTCCCCGGCTCGTGCAAGTTGCACCTCCTCTCCGGGAACTGCGGAGGGCGCGCGCGTGCACGCACTTTCACCGGCAGCCAGCGGAGTGGCCGACGCGAATGTTAGAAACGTAACGCAGCGGCCACTCGTAAATATAGAACGCTTTCGTCGGACCGTGCCAGGGAATCGCCGTGTGTTTTATACTTCACTTATTCCGGCTCCTTCGCGCAGAAGGACACGGGAAATGCGAAGGCGCGATAAGTTGCGCGCGAGCTGTCCCGTTCTCAGCGCTCCTTCGCTCTCCGAGCAAGTTCACGTATTCGCTTCTTGCGTCTCTCTCTCTCTCTCTCTCTCTCTCTCTCTCTCTCTCTCTCTCTCTCTCTCTCTCTCTCTCTCTCCTCTCTCTCTCTCTCTCTCTCTCTCTCTCTCTCTCTCTCTGGTCTCTTTTTCTCTCTCCCTCGTCTTGCCGATGCGGTTTTATCAGCGCGTTTTTAGTCTTCCTTCTGCGGAGGAATTTCTGCCATGGATTCTATTGACACGTTGACTGCTACCAGGGTGGTCGCCGGTGACCGGTCCCGCAATATCAGCGTGTCTCACCGATTTGCACGTGAAACGTAAGCAACTGCGTGCACACGCAAAGATACGCGTCGTGTCCAAGTAAAGTGTCACCTGTTTCAAATGTTTCATTAATATTTTGTCGAAAGCGCATCGAATTTGCACTCGGGATACTAGCGAGTACTTTTCTACTTTAATTGAGAATATCCAATCGAAACGTGAATATTATTAAATTATAAGAGAAATTATAAATTATAAAAGTTAAATTATACGAGAATATTAATAGAATCGAAATTATAAGGGAATAGAATCGAAACAAGAGAATATGAAAGGAATATTAAAAAAGAAATAAAAAGACGGTCTGCTTCTTGTGGAGTATATTTTATGACCTTTTTGGAAAAGCAATGAAATGAGAATGAGCTTTTCCAAAATCTGACGACCATTGTATTCTGAGACGATTGTCGGGAAAACAATCTTTGTCGAAAATAACCAGTAAAAGAGAGAAAATTAACAAAAGAGGTAATCGCTTCTTTCAACAATGGGACGACATTTCTCTCTGTCTACGACAAATTGAATACTCGGCCGGGACAGAGAGCCGGCGAATATAGGCGAGAACAATTGCGGATCGCGCCTAATCGCCGCATCTCGGACGATTCGAACACGAATCGAGCATTCGCGCGATAATTGGTGGAAATCCGCGCGACAGTCGACGTGTTAATGCGACTTGGAATTACCGCGCGATAGTCTCGTCAATAATCTCGACGGAAACCTTATGGCAAAGAGAGACCTGAATGTACAACCGAGAGGAAGCCGTTTTACGGTGGATAGCTAATAACAATGGCGAATGGAACCCCGAGCGGCGCACCGAGCGCGCGCGAAACCTCCGGGTTTACTCGGAAATATTTCAGATTCGGAGTGCCGTGGTAACATCAGCGATGCTGACGATTAGTGATGCCAAGTCGATGACTAGTAACGCTAATTGCTGATTAGGCCGTCATCAGGATCGAAAAATTCCAACTCGTCGAGGAGAGTGCATCCTTAAAATTGTCAGCTTCGAAAATATTCCTGGTTTTGAAATGCCATGTCGATATCAGTGGTGATAAATGAATGACTGAGCGATGATAAATGGGGGGATTAGTTACGACAAATTAATGGCGACTGAGTCGTCGTAACTCATTAAGAACGGAAAATTTCAGCTCGTCGACGAGCGCGTTTCTAAAACTGTCGGCTTTCATTAGAACTTAATGGTCTTCACTCCGACAGTCTCATTGCTCATTCGCCGGGTCCGTCAACCGTCAATTTGACGAACTCGTCCTTAGCGATGGGAAAGTAACGTTCCGTCTCGATACCCATTGAATCATAGCTGGATTGTTTGCCATCGACCCATGTTGCGAGGCTCACAGCTCACCAAACTCGAGCACACCGCAGACACTTGTTCGGTTGTGAAGTTCTCCGCCGGATCGAGCCGGGATGAAGTTGGAATTATTTATAATCAGCCAAAACGCTCGCGTGCTCCGCTCGAACGCGAAATAATTAGGACATCGCAGCGAACGAGCAGTTCGGTCGAGCGCGAATTACAGCGCGAGCCGGATAACAAGACTGAATAGTTCAAGTATACGAGCACATTTATCGAGATTCGAGATAGATCCCGAGGAGGAGAATACTCGATACTTCGCGTGTCCGTCTCTCGAGCGGCAATATCGCTGTCGTCGCACAGTTATATGTACCAAGAGAAGAAAGATCTAAGAGATAAAAAAAGTACTGATACAACGAGCTCTAGTAAGATTTGTACGCGTATTGATATCACATATTCACATATATATTCTATATATCTCATAATATTACATATTTTTACACTCTGAGAGAATTTCGCTCTAATAGGGAAACGTGCATTTTTTTTAAAACATACTGCGGCTTTCCCCGAAAATAATTAGTGTATTCATTAGGTAAGAGAAATAATTTAAATTTAACTAAATTAGTTACCAATGCCCACCGAATAAAGTGTTTACATGGTTCTTCTCCCGGTGTGGTGCAAAAACCGCGTCTTCCATGGAATTACGAATGTCCGTCGCAATTATCCAATTCATTAGAAGCATTCGACGAAATGATGCTCTAATCGTTCGGGGCGCGACGGAAATCAACGATGGTTCGCTTGTCTATCCGGTTCATGACGATCTCGCAGTCTGTGACCGCGTCTTTTAACGAAACTAATTGATGAACTGGGATAACCGCGACCCAAGGATATCGATCCTGCTAAGTTCGCCGCATTCGAATTTTGATCGCCGCGCACCTGATCCACCTTTTGTTGATGCGCACGAGAAAAAGGAGGTGTCTAGTTGGCAGTTGGCGTTTGTGTACGGCTGTTTTCTCTCTCTCTCTCTCCTTTCTCTTTCTCCTTTCCTCTCTCCTTCCTGCCTCTCATTCTCTCCCCCTGACAGCAGCGAGCTGCGGAGTTCGACGACCTCTCAACTCCGTGCTTTGCTCCGCAGCTTCATGGATTCCGATTACGTTCGTACGCTCGCGAATCCATGCGCGCGCGCGGGAAGGAGAGAGACGTGCATGCGCTACATACTCGCGATGCTGTGTATTGTGCACGTGCGTGGAACTTTGTAGAGAATGCAAGCGGACTGACATGATTAAGCGAAATTTCTACTATGCTATTACGCACGGGCGTGTTAAATAGGTGGACGCCATTATGGAGCGCCTTTTTCTCGATGATATCGCGGAACTTCTGTGCGGTTCTCGTTCGAAATTTATTTAGTGGCGCAATCGTTCATTTCGTTGCGGAATTTTAACGCTCACGCAGCCCTTACGAGAGAAACATAAATATATCGTGTAATGGGAATCGCGCGCGGAATCTCTTCAATACGTTCATTGTAGTTTTCATTTTGTATCGTAATTTTATAAAATAAAATGAAAACTTTCATGTCACTCGCGTGAGAAAATGAACATCGACTGTCTCTAATGGAATCCTCGTTTTCTATTGTTACAGAAATGACACCAGAGAGGACGTGTTCGTACATCAAGTAAGTTTCTCACACTTCGATCGTTTCAGAATAGCGCGAAATTTCATTGAAAAATTAAATTTAATTATCTAATTCAATCGATTCAAATTTTAACAATCAATTCCTAATCGATTGAGATCCTTAATAATACTAAATATATGCACGTGCGGTGTCTCAACTTTACCTGTGTCCACAGTCGGCCATCATTAAGAACAATCCAAGGAAGGCCGTGCGGAGCGTCGGCGACGGCGAAGTCGTGGAATTCGACGTCGTCATCGGCGAGAAGGGCCACGAAGCGGCGAATGTCACCGGGCCCGCTGGCGAAGCCGTGAAGGGCTCGCCATATGCCGCGGACAAGCGGCGCGGCTACCGCTCCGCGCACTGGGTGTACCCAAGGCGCGGCAACGGTAGACCCCAGCGTAGACCTCGCGAAGGCCAAGAGGGCTACGAGTCAGGTAGGCATCGTTCGTCGTGCATCCGATTTTCCTCGTGAGCGTTTTACCACTGCGCTCACCTGCGCGCGCAGTCTGCACAACTTGAATTAACTGGACGGCATCTGTTAATTAGGCGAAGCGAGGGCGGCCGATGACGCGAATGCGGCCGAGGGTGGCCAGCAGCCGCCGCAACAGCGACGCTATCGGATGCGCCGCTATTATGATGGCTACAGCCGCGGGGCACGTCGTTCCGGGCCAGCTCCCCAGCAGGGAGAGAATACTGGGGAGGGCGGTGAACAGACGGAGGGCGCTGGTGAAGGCGCCCCACCGCGTGGTGGTGGCCGAGGACGCGGCGGACCGTCACGGCGCTACTTCCGCCGCAACTTCCGCGGAGGAAGAGGTGGTGGGCCATCGCGACGTCCTCGCAGCCAGGATGGCCAGGTGAGAGGCACAGTTTGACGACGTTTAGCCGGATCTTCTCTTTGAGAGGTATCCCGGTGATACGGCGAGTGCAATGAAGATACCAGAGTCAAACGTCTCAAAGACAAACCGATGTCTCTTTTCATCGTCCTGTCTTTCTCGTTTTTCTTCCCGCGTTTTTTTTTTTCCTTGCTTTCTGGACCTTGACTCGGTTGATAAGTTGCACATTCGTGTCTCGCAACCTCGATGTTGCATATTCAGTCTAAATAATAAAGTGTTGAAGCAAATCTGAATATGCATCGGTTAAATAAAGTATTAAAGCCAAATTGACCATTTGAATACGCATAGTTTTTTCTTATCTTGTTTCAATTCAATTTTTTGCGCCGAATTGGTGTGACATTGCGACGATTGTCAGGTGATTGACGACGGTGAGCACGTTGGCGAGGCTGGTAGTCAAGTCGGTAATTCGCGGACGAACCCGCGACCGCGTTACAGACGACGATTCCTGCGACAGCCTCGCGTCGCCTCGAGCCAACGGACGAACACCATAAATAATCTGGCATCCTCGGGCGCCCGGAAATCCAATTCCGCTCCTTCTCCCGTCACTTCCCTTCGTACGCAAGTCACCGATATTCCTGCCGAATCCTGCAAGGTATAATACACACAGTGATTCTCCTGCCTGTCGGGTCGAACAGGTGGGAGATAGATAACTCGTGTCATCTCGCATTTCTTTTATCCGCGAATGGAACAATGGGACGATTCTATCTAAGCGCATTTTTTCTCTGCATTTTACACGAGACGCTCGCACAGAAGTTTGTTGTACCATCGCTGTGTCCAACGAACAGCTTCATCTTGTATATTGTATTATTATCTGTAAATATCTATCTCTTCGTCAACGGATTGCACTGCTCGGTGTTCGGCTTGCCTCCTCCCACGTCCATTCTACAAAGCACTTTAAACACCAATCATAAATCGGGAGCTGTGCGACGTATCGCCTCTCAGTGTCATGAAGTGTCGAAACGATCAATTGAAAGCGGTCTACAGAGAGAGAGAGAGAGAGAGAGATTTTGGTACGCATACTAGGCGTTATTAACGTTTGATTGCTTTCTACGTCTAGAGTCAGAATTTTCCATCCAATATTAATGCGTTTGTACGTCCTCATTGTTGATTATTCAATAACGGAAAAGAATAACAAAACTTTTCTTTTTTTTGATTGCGAAAAAATATATAAATGTACTCAAATACACATGAATAACGCAAAATTTCACATGATTGTTTACTAAACGCTACAGCACTTGTTTGCCGGCGACGGCTGCATATATTACCGTCAGACATTTCGTATCTATTATATTTTCGCATATTAAAAAATGCACATCTATTTTATTGCATTCAATCAAAATTTTTGTATGTAATTTTTGTATGTGTAAAAATACACCTCACGTATTGTTTCTTTTTTACTTTACGAGTACTGTTTTCTTGGTTCATTGAAGTATATGCAAAAATATATATAAATATAACGTACATAAATTTTCTTTTATATACGATACAGCTCGCAAATATATTTCTTGTTTCTTTTTTCGTTATGAATGTTATAATACATGTAAGTAATACTCGAGATATTGTTGCTTTCTTCTTTGCTTGTTTCTTTCTCTATCGTTGCTTGTTTCTTTCTTGTCCATCACGTTCAAAATTCTCGGAGTGCTCCCAAGTCAGGTAGAAGTGGTCAGGTACCAGTGACGCCTAGTGCGCGAAGAAGAGAGAGAGAGAGAGAGAGAGAGAGAGAGAGAGAGAGAGAGAGAGAGAGAGAGAGGTGTAGTTTTCCCGAACACGTGGTCCGTCGACGAATCTCTGTGAATACGACGATGACGCTTGGCGCACACTGTTTGCACTTTCTTTTTGTACTCTTTTCAGTCGGAGCAGAAGTCGGATGCACCTAAAGATACGGATGCACCTGCCGCTGCCCCTGCTCCACAGGTAACGTTGCTTTATTTTCTCCTCTGTCCGGCCTTGCGGGAGAGCGTCCATCTCGGTTTACTTTGTTCTCGCACCTACACCTTCGGCATCGAGCATCGCGCACTACCGCGTCAGCCTTCTTTATTTATTTTCTCTCACCATTTTTCCCCACTTTCGTTCTCTCGTCATCCCCCTTGAGAAATTCTGCGTTCCATCTTGCAGCATTGTTCGACATTTTTATGCTTTCCGCGGCCTGGAGAAACGCCTGAAAAGATTTTTGTGGATTCGTTTCTCCCAACGGATATTTCTCCCAGCGGATATTTCGGTTCATCCTGTACCAGTATCGAGCTCCTCGTCCCGCTGACGAGGTGAGCTGAAACCTCCGCGAAACCTCGGGAGCAAATTCGCGAGGAACATGGCAGCAACGGAGCATTCTTGTGCAACTTCTCCGCGAGAAATGTGCGCAAGCGATTACGCGGTGGACACTCGAACGCGCGTCGCGCTACCGCGATAATGAGCCGCAATTTCCGCAAGCAAATGCCAAGTTGTAACGACGCTCGACGTGTATGTTGTAGGAGAGCCAACCGGTGCAGAACACCACCACCACCGAGAGCACCGCCTAACCGAGAGAGTAACGCTACCACAGCAGGACACTCCTTTTAATATAAAACACCAACACCCGTTATACACTACAGCAGCAGCAGCAACAACAGTAACAGCAGCAGCAGCAGCAGCATCGCAACAACAAGAAGAAAACGTCAACAAAAAAAAGCTAAAAGAATCATAAAAAAATCTTAAAAAAATAAGAAACACTACTCCACACTCTCCCCGCGGAAGCAAATCAAGTCGAGATGCGTACGGGTATCGGGGAGCGCCGCGGGAACATACCCCGTCGCCGCGTGCGTTTCCCGGCTCCCGTGTGCCTCTTGACTTGAAGGATGGCTAGGTTGTAAGATTGACCAACCGGACGCGAGATATAGGTGCGAAGAATGCGCGTGCGTATGTGCATTGCGTGAGAAGAAGGGTGAAGCAATTTACGGTGCACGCGATGAATTCGAGAGCGCAGCGAGAATAACATATATTGAGTATATGTATACATTTTTTGTTTTCGTTTTTTTTTTTGCGCATTCTTTGTTTCGTATGTTATTACTTCTGATTTTTCTCCGGTGAGACACTTCAGGTCGTTCCCTCACGTGCGACATTTGAGTTTGTAATTGCTATTTCACACGAAGCTTCCTTTTCTTTCGGCCACTTTTCATCAAAAGTAGTAGCGAACACTATACCAGTGATCGCGAGAAACACCGTGATGAGATCTAAAAAAAGAAAATATTGTTAATTACACACACACACACACACACACACGCACACTACAAACACGCATGTACGCACGCGCGAATCATATCGTATCGTCGGAACTGTGCGTGTCTCATTCGCGATTTATCCTCGTCTCGAAGTCATCCGTTTCACTTCGACTTGCGTTACTATCCTCAAAATTAACCGAACTGCCGTGCATTGCTTTCACTCTTTTACACGCGATTATATTCTATCGATCAATAAGTAGCGTAACGGAGAACGATCTTTGATGTACGCGCACCAACGATGCATTCGTGATTGATGGTTTACTAAATTTTTCTAACACTTTATAGCGAATTTGTGTCATGGGAAAAAAGGAATGATCAATTATTTTAATAATGTTTATCTTTCATACTTTTACAATCAATTGTAACGTACGGTGTCAATTTGACCCCTGGTGGGTCCGGCTGAGCGTGTACTAATTATCGGATTAATGTTATTTTGACTTATCGTATTATTGATTAATCGTGAGTAAAACGTCCGGTTGTCCTCTGAATTTTGACGTCGTTCGACTGTGCATCGGGAAGGTCGTTTTTAAACTGCTAACCGCGCATGTGACGATCGTTCGATTTGACTTTCAGAATAGGAGCCCGGGCGTATCACACACACACATCCATCGGCTCAACTGACAATACGAAATTGTCGAATGTCACGAGAGTACGATAGCGAGAGAGAGAGAGAGAGAGAGAGAGAAAGAGAGAGAGAGAGAGAGAGAACAAGAGAGAGAGAGATATATATATAAATCTTTGTATAATTTTGCATGGCAAACTAATTTTAAAAATTTTAGTTTGTGCTATCGCGGACGGATAACAAATAAATAATATATGTCTTCCTCTACGAAAAAAATAGAGAAAAAAATGAAACGAAATCAAACAAAAATGATGTTGAATTATCTTTCTATCTGGTGAAACGATTGGTTCTGCATTTGTTTCTTCTTCTTCGTTCGAGTCTGTATCCAGACGACACAGCAGACGTCCACGCGAAGTGGCGTGTGATGGACGCGAAGATGCGCGAAAGTCTGAGTCTTTCGAACGTCTTCCATGCTCTCGTGTTGTTTGGACGCGGCTTTTCGCTCGACAAAATTGCGTCAAAGTGCCGCGGTCGTTCATACCGTCGTCGTATCGTACTTCTGTGCGTGTCGATTCAAAAAAAAAAAAAAAAGAAAAGCGGCCGCCACGCCGTTGAGGCTGCACGCGCGGTACAGTCGTTCTCCTACTTAGATGCCCGCAAGAGAAAATTCCGCCCAAAACAATACTGTCGTTACGCATCACGATCGTCTTTAACTGTGTCTCACTTGTTCCATGTCCCGTTTGTGAAGTAGCGTTTGCCAGGACACCCGTGTGTGTTGAGTCCGTATAAAGTGCATAATATCTCCGTTTTTATTTGTACGCGTCGGAGAGACTTAAGAGAGAAACAGGAAGAGGAGAAGGAGGAGCCGTAATTCGAAGGATGTAACATCCGATCGCTTAGAATTTAAGGAGCGGGTTTTGAGAGATGCTCATTAAAAGCAGTAATAAGGGATTAAAAACAATAGACAGAGAGAGAGAGAGAGAGGGGAGAGAACGCGCGAGAGCGAGAGAGTGTGTGCGTGAGTGTGGTGCCAAGTGGAGGGAGAGACAAACGCGCGGTTACGTTACGTGGACAGGCAATTCCCGTTTCTGCAAACGTCATGTAAGAGAAAGAAAAAGAAATGAAACACAAAAGCGGGGGCGACGATCGGCGCCGAGAGTCGCGCCCGAGGTGGATCGTCCCGCTCGAGAGCATCGTACGAGGAGAATCCCGGCGGGCGCGCGATGTAACCGGCATGTCGCTTACACTTTACCGCTTTTTCTATTAACCCACGATCCACGTCCGTCGGGACGAGGGGGAGGGACGCGCCGACTCTCCCTCGAATGCTGCGTTGTTCGCAACGCGCGCGAGACCGCCCTCCGTTGTCTAACGTAACCGCGCGTACCCATGCAACACGGTAGAAAGAGAGCGAGAGACGAGTAAACCTGAAAAAAGAAAAGGTAAACAAAAAAGAAAAAAAAGAGAGAGAGAGAGAGAGAGATAATCCAAGGGGAAGACCGGCCTCTCGGGACGAGCGGCGAGAGGCGCGAGAAACAAGCAAAAATTTCACAAAGTGACGCGCCGAACGTACACGGGCGCGCAGTTGTAACTGACTGCGAAAAAAGAACAATGCATGTGTTAACAGTGAATATCAGAGTTAGAAACAAGAAAATCGCGGACAAAAAAACGAGAACAAGAAACCAGAAGCTATACCGAGCTGTACCGACAAGCGGAAAAAGAAAGAACCAGGTACACACACACACACACATCCACACTTACACATATACGCGAGGATAACGAGAGAATAACCCAACAGTTAACTCGACGCGTAATCACACACGTATTACACACGCGTACACACACAGCGGTATAGTGTAAACCGAGATAACGCGAGGAAAAATGGGAAAACAAAAGCAAATATATCCACTCGCCGAGCGACGAAGCGCCGCCTCGTCGCTCGGATTAATCTTATCGCCGTCGTCGAATCTTGACACAAGTCGCCGCGGTCAATCGTCGCCGTCGTGTCGTGTCGTGTCGTGTCGTGTCATTCGAACGGCGCGCGTTCGTTGCGAAAGTTGAGTGTGACGGCTTCATCGGGCTTGATCGGACGACGCGAACAGTTTCATCGGGAGCATTTCATTCGAGTGCGAGAGAGAAGGAAGAGAAAATAGAGGAAAAGAGAATGAGAGAGAGAGAGAGAGAGAGAGAGAGAGAGAGAGAGAGAGAGGGAGGGAGACAGAGATAAATACGTGGCCGTGCGTTCCATCGATTGCCGAAACGGCTCGCGGGAGATTCGACCGACAAAACGATCTTCCTTCACCCCCTCCTCCGAGAGGCTTGTACGCGCTTTGCAAGTGGAATAATTCGCCCCGCGATCGTCGAATGCGAGTCTTGCCGCGATTTCTACCTCGTGTCGGACGTTTTAATCGACGTGCAAAGCGGGCGATCGTTTCTATCGCCGTGAGCTCGACCCACCGCGAACGCGAGTCGGCGAGTCGCTCGCGAGCGTCCGGTCGACCGTGGCGAAAATAACAATAATGATAAAAATAAGAAAAAGAGAATATAAATTTATGATCAAGCAGATCGGCGTTCTTTCGATTCCTCCCGTTGAGCTGCGCCGGTCGGCTAGCTCTGATCGGACACTCGCCGAGATAACGGAGACTCGAGTCGCGCTAGAAGGGAAAGAGAGTGAGAAACATGAGGGGGAGAAAAAAAAAGAGAGAAAATTTCATTCTTCCATCGAAAAGGGATTCTCGGGAAAGGAGGGGTGCCCACACATAACCACCACGCGAGACGCGCCGGCGGCCCCCTTCTCGCTCGAAATTTCCGTCGTGCATTCGCATCGTGACCTCCGCAGAAAATAATCGCAATAAAAGGGTATCACGTCGCGACAGTCAATTAGCTCCGATTCAGTTTCATGCGAGTGAAAGAGCGAGAGAGAGCGAGAGAGAGAGAGAGAGAGAGAGAGCGAAGGCGATACTCGAGTCGAGTATATCGCGGGAGAAAGACGGCGACGGGGACGAAATGCGTAAGAAAGTAAAGAAAACGATACGAAATCCCGATCAAGGAGACGTTCAACTTTCGAGAGGCAAAAAAAAACGACAAAAAGAAAAAAAAACGAAAAGAGAAAATCTATCAAAAAACCTCGACGGACGCCGGGCACGACGTTGTCGTTTCGTCGTCCAAGCGTGTCCCGTTAAGTCATCCGTCGACTGCCCCCCCCCTTCCCCCAATGAATTTTGTACCGAAACGTGAAACTCTAAATGCTAATTTCATACACGGAATTTAATTTTTTCACGAGAAACATGTGCATTATAAAAAATAAATCTACCAAAAAAATCGCAAAAGTCACAAAGAGAACATGCGTTTTGTTTCAATCGAAAGCACCCCCTTTCCCCTTCCCATCCCTCTCTGGTTGCTCCTTCTTTGTCTTGCCCTTTAGTATGAGAATCAACATGTGCGTTATAAAATATAAATAGCCGATCTATCGAAAGAATCGCGAACGTCGCCAACAGAATATGCATCGTTTTATTTCGATTGGAGATACGTCCTTTCCCCTCTTTTCTGTTCTGTTCGTGTAAGCATCAACTTTGTGTGCCGTAAGGTGAAGGCCGCAATTTGCGACAATTGCGTCTGCTTCCCTCCTTATAATAAATTAAACACTTAATAATAATTAATATGATATTAATAAATTTGATAACGTTAATACGGATATATCCTTTAAAAATATTCTCACTCTAAATTTTATATATTATCGATCGTAAGTTTCAAATAGAATTAAAAGCGCTATGGTAAATTCTGAAACATAATTACGAGTATATTGTTGAAGATGACGGTTCAAACAATTACTCGTCAAAATACCTTAGAGAGAACTTGCATATATTCTTTATCTTCCTCAAAACCAAATTATCAACAAATGAAACTAAACTATTACACGCCTAAATGCTACATCAGCCACTTCTCTGAGAAATTATAAATGAATTACAATCCTTCAAATATTATAAATATTTTTTTCTTTCGATAACTAAATTAACATCTTAATTTTTAATGAATCGGAATTGAAAAAATTTAACAAAACTTCAAATGTTCAAGCTTTTCAACGAAATCAACTTTGTCAATACTTAGCATATATAATGCATTAATTAATTTTCATAATGAGGTGGCTTGCTTGGTCGCTAATTGGTCACACTCGATTCTTACAAATCACAACTTAATATGCAAATCTAGCGGAAAAATCGCAAGAGTCACCAAAGAAACACGCGTCGTTCTGTTTCAATTCAACTCACCTTTTTTTCGTCTTCTTCGTTACCAGCCTCCCTTTTGTCCCGCTCGTTTTTACGACCGTGGTTGCACGCGAGCGATTTCGTTATCGCGAAGAGGTGCGATAAACGAAGGATTTGTGCGAGCCTGTTAGTAAAAATGACTGCGATGAAACAAGCCGAGCGGAAGAATCTCGGCGCAGGTCGATCGCGCCAAAGATGAATTCGACTCGGATCACCTTAAGCCTCCACGAGGAGGATCTCCCTGGAGCGGTAACACGCTCCGAATAAAGCGGCGCGGTTTGTGTTTCCGGCATCTGCGTACGTACACGTGCACACATTCACACCGAGACCGACCGAGCGAGCGAGCGCGATTTAATCCTCGTCTATCTTCCGTCGGAAGAGTTTCCCCCGGACGGTAATGCAATTTTCAGTGTCCGTGACGGCGGCGGAATCGTATGTGCGCATTTTGCGCGCCGCAATTTTGCGCGGCGCGCCGCCGGCGCGGCAGCGGGAAATTACAGATATAATGCATTCCGTCACGGGGAATTTCCAATAATACCGGCATTCCGCCGGCACTTAATCACCTTTCGCGAGGTATATAAATTAATTTTCCATCGTTCCAACGTTAATCTCATATATAGCAACGATCGCCAGTAACGTACATACGTAGGGAGCGGGGAGGGGGAGGGAGCGTCCCGTCCCCCATCTCTGCCTCTTTGCTCGCGTAATTGACATAACGGATCTCGGCTTCGCATTACAGATTCATCATTATGAATTATAAATTGCACGCATCGCCGGCATCGAGCGGCGCGCATACATAGTTTAACGATACGTTAAATTTTCGATCTATCGGCAGCGAAGTGCACTGCGGCGCGACGCGAATCGCGCCTGCATGCGCGCGCGTCGCACGCTTTCGATTTCGAAATACGAAATACACTCGCCGCGGAATTCACGTCGCGCCGGATTTCGCCTCCCGGGTGAGCCTCCTCTCTCTCTCTCTCTCTCTCTCTCTCTCTCTCTCTCTCTCTCTCTCTCTCTCTCTCTCTCTCTCTCTCTCTCTTCGTATTTCTCCGCCGCTCCCCCTCACCCCCTCTCCTCCGGCGCCTCGGGCGATGTGGAATAGACGTGGCCGGGAAGAAAAAAAAATGCCCGGTTAAGAAAACAATTTTGAATAAATCAAACCGGACCCGCGTTGAATGTAAAAATATCATTCCCTTTTGTGCGCTACGAAGCGGAGTCTGAATTTCCGCGTGCGCGCTGTGTTATTTTTCCTTCTTCCCCCACCCCTTGCTCCTCCTCCTGTACCTTCTCCTCCTCCTCCTCCTTTTCCATTTTTTTCCCTCCTCCTTCTTTTTTCCCTTTTCAGAACGCGGAAAATACGGTTTATTGAAAATTTTCGCGAGCGAGTGAGCGGCGAGAATATTAAAACTGGCCGAAAATCACCGGTGAATAATTACTGACTCCATCAAAGCGGGCAAGCGTTGATTTATCGCCGCGTAAAAATCAAAGATTCACGGCACCGCGTGCGCGCGCTGTCGTGTTTGGGAAAAATATTTCAATATTTTATACGATCGCGCAAAAGTGGAGTAATTTCGGGGTTTCGGCGGTCATTCGTCGGCGCACTTGCCGTGCACTACATGCAGCCTTTCTCCCTCCCCCCTCCTTCCCCTTATATACACTCACACGCAACAAGAAGCTCCCGTGCGCGTTGGCCGAGCGAGCGATGCACTCTCGAAAATAACAGTTTAAACATATCGCCGTGAGCCTGCCGGCGATTGTTACGCGCATTTCTCCGTGCCAGACACTGAAAGAGGTTATAACGCGTTGTGTCGGGGATCTCTGAATCTTTTAATCCGGATCTATAAAATATACGATACGTGAGCACGCAACCGCCGTATAGATCCGCCGCGCGCGTTTTTGCCTCTCGCTCGGCGCTCGGCGCTCGGCGAAAATGTAAAACAGTTTTATTATGGATACAATATTGAGGAAGCGCTGTGTCGCGCGACTCCGCTCTTGCGCGCTCATAGGATTTCCGTCCTCGTGACCGCGCTCTTCCGGTTCACGCGAAGGCAGCCTCGCGGACGTGGCGACCCCTTTACGAAGAGACACGAACGTCGTTCGCTGGACTCGCGAGACGTCGCGAAGTCAGGCGGAAGTGATCGGAGAGAGCTTCTCTGCTTCTTTCTTCCTTTTCCTTTTTTATTTCTCAACAGGGAAAGCGGGCTTCTTCTCCTCCCGCAGGAGGAAAGCTGGACCTCGGGGGGGACGATGATCGCCGGCCGGGTTTGCAAGTCGATAAAGAATTCGCTCGAGATCATGTCGAGGTTAGCTTGAAGTCAGGTGGAAGTCGACGATCGATTTGATGTTCCTGAGATTTCATCGCGGTATCTGGAAGATGTTACAACGCGCACAGACCGGCGCGATGGACTTGACATTCGGTGCAAGGTTACCAGCATCGAATTTCTCTCTCTCTGGACATCAACATGAAGCTGCCCACCGCGACGAACACGTTGCTTTCGCAGGGCCGCTCCCTCTACTTTGAGTAATCAGTCAGACACTGAATCAGCGTCGCGTATAAAAGATTCTAATAACTTGGTTGCATAAAATGTCAAGGCTATCATGCCGGTCTGCGTAGCTGTCGACGTTCGGCTTATATCATGCAGGTCGAATCGACGCGGCCATATCGACTCGACTTGAATATACTGTCGCAAAAAATGTACAAAATACCATAAAATTGTTATACAAAACATTTTTTCGTATACTTTATATGGTACTTTATATGCAGTATAACGCCCTCACCTTACAACTTTTTTAAATTTTGAAAATTTATGTATTTTAATGCGTAGAATTGATTTCTAGAAACGAAAATTTTCGGAGGTATTCGCCAGAAATGAAAAAAATCCTTTAGTTTCGAGGGGTTGTTCCGATCCCTAACCCCTAACATTGAAACACTCGACGGCTACTCGATCGTCAATAATCCAGCCGACATGAGACTAATGAAGCTACAAGATATCTCGTAGATATCAATAAGTACAGACTGTACATCAACGCGATATCGACAAATGTCACGCGACTCTGTCGTCGGTGCGAAAAGAAATCGAGCTTTTGGGGAATCATCGTCGTCGAGACCGATTCGATTCGATCCACTCGCGAATATCTCGGGGGTGTGAAGACATACACATCGCTCGCTTATTACAGCTCGACTTCCGGCGCAAATGAGTCTCGAGGAGAGCCGCGGGATTTCTCTTAACGAACGGACCGTGATATCGTCGATTTGCCGAATTTCTTGCCGCCGGCGAGCGCCCGGCAAAAAGGGGCTCGGCTTATCGGAGAAACGCGCTCTCGCGTGCGCGTGTGTCCGTGTGTTTTCGGGCACGAGGATGCGTACGATGCGGCACGGCACGATGGTGAGGGAGAGGACACACACAGAGAGTGTGAGACAGAGGGAGAGGGAGGGGGAAGGTGAGAGAGGGCGATCCGCGGGAGGAAATCCCGATGAACCAAATTGGTCGACACGCTGTGTGCACACGAAATTAAAAAAGTTGCCTTCCAGGTCGATGCCTCGGCAAACGCCTCGGGCGCTAATTCCCCGACACGGACACCCGCGCCCGGCGTGCCGGATCACGCCCGCAATATCAATTATCGCTATTTATTTGCCCGCGTGTCCGATGCGACCGCGGCAACAGCGGCGAGCACCGCGTACACCAGCTCGCATGCGAAACGGCACGAGCACGATGATAAATTAAGGAAGCGCAACCAAACGTCGCGAGCGAGGGCCCGCCATCGACAGGCGGTAGTCGGTTGTGTGGACGGCAGCCGCGCAGTGAAACGATATACACAGTGCGAGTATTGAGCAGCGCGGTGGATAACGGAGGAATCTCATCTGATCCCCGATTCGATGATTTCGACTCGGTAATCTTCTGTACATATTATATCTCATCTGTACATCTGCGGCGCGGAATTCGCAAGTTTCTTCATGCGAAATGTTTGCAGATTTTCATGCAGACGCGCTGAAATTTTCCGTTAAGTTCGGTCCTCCGACGCGATAATTCTGAGATTCAGTAATTTTCTATATATGTGTTATCTCACTCGTATTTGTGTGTCTATGATTGGAATTTTCAAGAGGAGCGTCGAAACTGCGTTTCATCGAGTTTGATGGCCTCCGGACACGCTACAGAGCGTCGAAAAAATATTAGACCTATATTTTTTCAGTGACGTATTTCAATGTTAGGGATTAGGGGTTGGAACAACCCTCCGAAACTAAAGGATCTTTTTCATTTTTGGCGAATACCTTCGAAAATATAAGGTATACGAAAAAATGTTTTGTACAACAATTTTATGGTATTTTGTACTCTTTGCGACAATATATATTCACTTTTTCCGAAAAAGACAAATTTTTTAATTTACCTCCATTCCCATCCGTCATCTTTGCAAAATTTAAGTTCCGAAAACTCATCATCGACATCAATTCGACCCTTGACTTGTGAAACCGCGATGATAATAATAATAATATTATTATTATTATTATTATTATCCTTATTACTGTTATTTTTTTGCGTGACAGATAAGAGCGCAACAAAAATATTTACGCTCTCCCGGAATGCGCCGTCGCCCTCATGACGTCGATATCTCATACACTGTCGCTTCCACCCCCCCGCGCTCGCCCCCATAACCGATTACTGCGCAAGCCCGTGAATAAATAATCCTCAATCGCGATGCTTCGATGAGCAGCTTATCTCACCGTATCCGCGCCGTTTTGCAATGAAATTTCGCGCACGAAATCGCGCGCGACATTTCACAGCCGTGCCTCTTCGCGTGCCATTGTCCTCCGTCAACGAGGAGCTTCATCGCGTCAGCGCGCGTTTCGGCAATGTCGCACAGTGGCTGAAAAGACACATTTTTCCTCTTCTTTTTTTCACTTTCTTCCGCTTTATTTCACATATAATTGCAACCGTCTATCCGTCTTAAATAATGCGCATCAAAGGACGCTATTTTCCCCGTGTATACATTAATAAATAATAACGTGCCGCGCGCGCGCGCGCGCGTCCAAAAGCTCAAAAGCCCGGAAGCCCGGAAAGCCGAAATTCCGCCGGGCCGCCCCCTTCCCCTCGCCGCGGCCGCTCGTAAAATTGCCGTTCGACGGGGGACGATCAAACGCCGCCGCTCGGCTTTTATTCGCCGCGATATCACACACACAGCTGTGTGCGCTTACTGTGGCCGGAAGGAGGAAGCCGCCGGCGTGGCGCGGCGCCCTGCTTCCTTCCTCTTCGTGCTGCTTCCGCCGCTCCGTTCCTGCCGAGGATCCTCGCCTCCCGCCGCGGAGGTCCGCTCAAAGCGCCGTCGGCCGCCAAGTATTCCCGGAGTCGGCCAGACAGGAGCTTAAAGCAATTTCGGCCAGGTGCGTGTCCCGGTGCGGCGCACCGGCGACCCGGTGGAACCTGCCGAGGGCCTCACGCAGGGTCTCGATCGCCTCGCTGACCTGCTCCTCCTCCATGCTCGCCAAGCCGCGGGTATAGAGCGCCTCACACTCCCGCAGGCACGCAAGCCGATCCTCCAAGCAGATTTTCTTTTGACAGCCCGGACATTTTATCGGCTTACACGGCCGCTGCTGTTGCTGCTGCTGCTGCTGCTGCGAGGCTCGCGAGTGCAATCTGCCGCAGCCCGCCGTGGGACATCTGGGGGTGAGATATCAAGAGGATATTCCGCGAGTTTCTTTTGTGCGCCGGCCGCTCGTCACTGTGAGACCGCGGAACGGCAGGGGAAGACAGATTTTCTGATTGAGCCGGGCCGAAAACTCCTCGCCCCGAGGCAGCGCGCGTTATTAGCCGACAATCGCGAGTCGCAAACACCTCCCTTCTCTCAGCGCGCTGTAATATCATACTTGCGGCAAAAATTACTCGTCTTTTCTGACAATAATCCGCTCGCGTTGCGCGATTATAGTGATGAATATATCGAAAAACTTTCGTCTCAGCGCAGCGTCGAAGGGCAAAAAGAAGAAACGAATATAGTTGTGCACTAGTTTAGCGAAGAGGAACAAGACGAATGGGACGTAGCACGACGCTACGCGAAATGCGAAAAGTCGTGAGAGTGTCTTAATAGGTATTAAATTGTCCCTTCGGGGGGAACAATTCCTCAATACCGAGCGAAGAAGACACAGCCGGAGGGTGGAGGACTTTACGCTTCAACTGTCGTCGTCGTCGTCGTCGTCGTCGTCGTCGCCGTGATTGTACACCGACGCGGAGCCTTTTTCATTGATTTCGACGCGGTACTTAGGAGAATTACATTTGCGTTGGCGCGACGATGAAATAATTACTCGTAATTGAACTTTTGTTCGCGCGTCGACCGGCCCCGCAACTCAAAGGGGCGCGCGCTGTAGTTTATTTCTCGGGGAAAAATACTGTCGTCCGATGTACATTGTTGACATAAAGGACGCGTAACGAGTGGCGCTATCCGGCGCAGCAGAAAATTACCGCGAAACTGATAAAAGCACCTGGCTCCGTCTCGCGTCGCCGGCGCCGCAAGGATCTCTCACGACGGCGAATGGAAGTACCTTTGACGGGAGCGTCCTTGCGCTTCCCTTTGAGAACTTCGCCTCGTTCGCCGAGGACTTGCGGTTTTTAACGATCACTAAAAACATCTGCTAACTTCTCCCTCCCCCCTCCTGCCTCGCTCTTCCCCGCGCCGTGTCCCTCTCTTCGCCACCTTAGGCTGCTTGTTATTCTCGTCGCGTGACATTTTTGCGCTTTTATCTCTCTTTCCCCGTCGTTTTTGATACTTTTGGAAAGTATCTAATCGTACCTCGACTCTTCTTAAGATTCGAACTTTATTCGTGAAAGAGAGAGAGAGAGAGAGAGAGAGAGTGTGAGTAGAGACGTGACTTTTTTTCGCATGAGTTTCCGACGGCATAAATACCTGGACCGGACCTTGAGCATTTTCAATTAATAACTTAATAACTATTGCGATTTTTGCAAAATGGTGCACATGACTTCTTTTTCTCAGTTCGATCTGACTAATTTTCACAATTCTTCGTTTCCAAAAGATCCCGAACACCCTGTGTATATATATATATATATATATATATTTAATATAATAATTAATTATACATATAATAATATAATATTATGATTTATGTACATAATTATATGTGATTTTATATAGTTATCTATAATCTTTTCAGATCGGGCAATAATAAAGCGACTAAATCATCCATCATCCCATCATAATTACACTCACAAAACAATTTTTTTAATTTTCACTTTGCCATGCCAACTTTTCTTGACCAGCGTACACAAAGAATAACGAAGGTTACCGATTAATTGAAAAGCGCGAGGGGTACTCAAAGATTGTATTCTCCCTTCGTCATGTGTCAACCTCACGTTGCCTCACACGAAATTCATACTCGGAGCGAACGGCCGAAGCACAAACGCGTTTCTGCCGAAAATGAACATCGGTGAACTGAGAGAGAGAATGTATTCGACACTTCAGTTATCTGCTTTAAGACGCGGCTACTCGACGAGGCGACCAGTCTAATCGTGTCTCGAGCAACGTACGATTGCGAACGATTCGAGAAGCCCTCGCGGAGAGGCTCCGCCGGCTGCGAAAGACAGACGGAGAGAGAGAGAGAGAGAGAGAGGGGGGAAGGGAGAGAGTGTTAACGTCGACCGTCTTAATTAAACGTACTTGACATCATTTCCGATCGATATTGCTCCTCCTCGGTAATCTGTCGAGAGGGAGACATTCGAGCGTAGGAGAAAGAGAGAGAGAGAGAGAGAGAGAGAGAGAGAGAGAGAGAGAGAGAGAGAGAGAGAGAGAGAGAGAGAGAGAGAGAGAGAGAGAGAGAGAGAGAGAGAAAGTGAGGCGGGAGAACTTGGCCCGACGCGGTGTATCGATAAGACTGTTCATTCAATTAAATTAGTCCCCTGTTAATGAGCTTGATGTCGGCGAATTTAAATGGACTTACCTCAAGCTCGCGGAGTCGTTCGTCAGATTCTCAAAGCGCGGCCAGTCCTCTTGGCAGGCTTTGCATGTGCACCGAAACCAATATCTTGCCGCCAGTGTCCTTTGACGCTCGGCGAGGCTCCTCTTCGTGAATATCGGCCCGTAATTTTCGGCAATAACGTCGCCGGGCCGCAGACCGCGGGTCGCCCTTATTACGATGTGCCGGCCGACGAAGTATCTGCGGTGTCGAGACAATGACGGACGATGACGGACAAAGCGAGTGCGCGAGGCGACGGTTATGCCGAGCGATCTGTCTCTTGGGTCCGGTCAGTCGCGGTTAGCGCGATCAACGTTAACGTTACCGTTAACGTCGCCACGATGATTCACAGCAGCGGCGCGACGAGTCGTCGACGCGTTAATAAACTAGGACGACGCGGGGCGAGGCCTCGCGAGACCTGTTGTCCCCCCCCCTCCCTTCCCCTTACTCCCGCACGTTGTTGACTGAATTAACCGAGTTAGCAGCAGTCGCTTCGGTGGACTTTTGCCTGACGCTTTAATGAACTTTTACGCGGGCGTAGCGTGTGACGTAAGAAGAAAGAGAAGAGCGAGAGAAAAGGGAAATTGCCGAGCAACACGGTGAGAGTCCGAATTGACAACTAGATAACCTCATGGTGAAAAGAAATGAATTAATTAATTATGTTAATGACTAATTAATTATTTTTATTTCGGATTTTCATTTCTTCAGAAGATCTTCTGGAAGAGATGAAGGCAACGCCATTTTGTGACGGTTTAGTTTTCTTTTCTCACTCGACTGTCCGCTTTCGGAGGTTCTAAAGAACAACCGCACAGATATGATAAATAAACAAATCCGTTATTAACTATCGACTTTCACGATGTCGGCAAGCAGCTGTTCGAATTGTCGTTTTTATTATGCCTTTTGCTAATATTGAGAGATCGCTGGAACCAATCGGGCACCAAATTTGGAGCAAGAACAAATCTAAATATCAGCTGATTATCAGAGGAAACGAATTGCAATTGTCGCGAATTGGAGCGCGATTGTCACAAATCATCGCGACGGCGTCGCTAATTGGTACATTCCCGTTACTTAGCCGAAGCTCCTCTCTTTTGTTCGCACGAGGCGCGCGAGATTTACAGCGGGATTTATCGCGCGAGAGGCGTGCCTTTTTCATCGCGATCCGCTCGCGCGATCGCTGTAAACTAATAGTCTCGCAAATATGAAAAATCATTCGCAAACGCATAAAGCAAATTTCCCGCCGCTGAACGTTACGCGCGCACCGCGCACGTGTTTCACGCGAGCGCCGTTCTTTTTTTTCATCACCCGGGCATTCTTTTCAATAAAACCGCGCGCGCGCACGCATGCGTGAGCGTCGGACGAGCTAAAACAGCCTGTCGGCGGTCGTTAATCAGCCGACCCGCGCTCGGAAAAGGTCGCGAGCCACGGCGAGCTGATAAATCGAGAAGCGGCGAGAGCGACGCGATTATCTCGCGACGAAATAATCCCCGCGAATCGCGCGACAAGAAGACTCCGACGATGTTAATAACGCGTTAACAACAGCAACAATTCGCGCCTGCGTCGTCGCGAGGGCGCGGGCGAGACCGCGACATTGCGGAATAATTCCGCGCGTAATGGCCGCGAGCGGCCGAGTCATCGCGGAAGCTTCAGCTACGCACGCGAAGCCGCGTGCTTAATTAGCGTTAATAGATTCGCGGGGCGGCGGAAGCGCCGCGGACGCGTGTTCGTAAACGCGCGGGAACGACTTCATTCCCGCCAATTACACCGTTTTCCACTTTGCCCCAGCTTATTACGCCGCGGCACATCGGGCGATTTATTCGGACGTCGAGATCATCCACGTGAGGATATCTGGACGGTGCCGTCAAGGTTTAGTCAAGGGAGTGTACCGATTTACGGCAGGAGGAGGTTACGGTGCTTCGGGTCACTCGGCTCGGGATTCCAGCCAGCACTTGCTTCTCTCACGTGTTTACACCTTGCCTGCCTGTGTGCGCGCTTTACAACACAACCCCGCGGAGAAATTTCTCAGGACTCCCCAGGTCGGATACAGCATAGATTCCGATTAGAATTGCCAAAATCGAAAATTGATTACCCGATCACGATACCGATTGCGAATCCCATTCTCGCTTCAGACGCGGGTTATCTGGTTGGAATCGAGAGAGAGAGAGAGAGAGAGAGAGAGAGAGAGAGAGAGAGAGAGAGAGAGAGAGGAATAATACGGGAACTGGCGCTTTTCTGCTCTCAGTCGATGCATTTTTACGGTATCAAACAGGAAACCTCACTTCCTTACACGAACTGTTGCGCTCGATGAGATCAAGCATCAGAAGAATAAAATTTTAATACAGACCGGGGGGGGGGGGGGGGGGGAGAGAGAATATATTCGGGGAACTTGGGCTTTTGCACATATTGACAGAATCGCATATCTCGGAAACATCGTACGTGCATTTCCGACTGGAAAACCCGCAAGCTTCGAAAAGCAGAATCAGACCCCGAAAAATGTTTTGTAATGTCCCTTGACAGTTTTCAGCAAATCGACGCAACAAATCCCTTCGGAGATGCTACTTCGCAGCGAGCTGCTGCAAAGCCGAACGTACTCGAGAAGGAAAGCCAAGGTAGAAAGCCCCCCGAAGTATATACCGTAACTTTCCCCTCACCGCTAATTAGACCTGCCCCCTCGTAGAACGCACCGGCCAGATATTCTTACGTCGATTATGTCGCTGTTGAACTTGATGAGTCGTTTGTTCAACCCCACCTCCGCCGCCGCCGTCCATCCTCCCGCTCCTCCCCCGTCTTCCAGCAAAAGTACACATACGCGACGATAGAAATACACAGTTCGCGCGAATTACTTGGTCGCGCCCGGGAGACTTCGTCAAGTTTCGATCGTCGATACGCCCGCCCGCGCGCGCGCGCGAAAGTGTACTCGCGCGTGTATACCTAGGACGAAGTTTTGATTCTCTGCATTAACTCCCTCCCTCCCTCCCTCCCGCCCATCCCCAAATTCCGTTCAACTTGGCGGATCAACGGAGAATCCCGCGAGATATAACGCTATACTGGCTATTGTCCCATTTTGACGCTACAAATGGTGGCTCGCCGGCGTTTCGCTCATGTCGAGACTTCCAGAAGGACCCGTTAAGGAGCCTCCGCGGGGTGGCTCCTGCGCTATAAGCGTTTATAGAGAATGGATATTCAATATTCGATTATCTCAGTGTACTCTCTCGCTGCATTCACTCTTAACGCCGACAAGCGAAGTATCAGTTGTTCGACTTGGTCAACTGCACACAGTGCGCACGGCGAACGTCAAATTATCCTTGTGTGGGTGAATGAAGTAATTCTCTGTCGTTTACAGTACATTTTCCTATTATTCTTTTATCGGCTTATCGACGGAAGTTTCGATCTGAAGGAACGAGAGAGAGAGAGAGAGAGAGAGAGAGAGAGAGAGAGAGAGAGAGAGAGAGAGAGAGAGAGAGAGAGAGAGAGAGAGAGAGAGGAGAGAGAGAGAGAGAGAGAGAGAGAGAAAGCGAGAGAGAGAGGAATTCTTAAGGACAAAAATAGCAGTTGTATGCTTACAGTAAATTTTTCTGCCATTCTTTTACTGACTCATCGACGGAAGCTTTGATTTGAAAGGAGCGAGAGAGAGAGAGAGAGAGAGAGAGAGAGAGAAACATTCTTAAGGATAAAAATAGCAGTTATATGTTTAGCAATGCTGTTTATCAACAAAAGTTCAAATGCAGGTACGGTACAGCAATAAAACTAAACATTTTTCACCATCTTGAAGAAATACGTGAAGAAACATGTCGATGTTCGCCGTGAAGGACGACACTGACGGTTCGAGAGACGACAAAGCGTGTTATTCAAGGAGCATTACTAAAAATCAGCGCTTGCGCATTTGGATCGCATCAGATTCGAAGGCCGGTATTTAGAGTCGTAAATTATACACGGCCTCTCGTTAAAAATATGATTAATTGCAAAAAATATTACAACGAATTGCTTATAATCTCGATTCGTGTCAGTATCTCTTCTTGCATGAAGAAGGTACGGTGACGAACTGTCAGGAAGTTGCAACGACTAGCTTAAACGACTTAAGCTTAAGATACCAAGTTTCCGCCTGGATGTTCTTTTCCTTTTAGCGCGTTCGTTCGTCGGGCGTCTGTTGCAATCGGAAGCATCCTGTAATAATAAATTACTCGACACACCTGCAAACGCGCGACGTCCTGCCGGCTTCTCGATCCAGCTCCTCCTGTTCTCAGTTGCTTCGTCGTGCCGCTCCACCGATGCCTGCACTAGCGTGGATACGTTTCGATCGGAGAAACACGAGTCGATCAACCGCGCCGTCGACGGGGGAGGAGAGAGAGAGAGAGAGAGAGCCCGATTCAATGTCTCAGAAATCGGTGAAATATTTTAATCACTCGACGCGGGTCGCAAATAACTCACCGATACGCACCGCTCCGTCGGCCTCGGGCAAAATAATTCGGTCGCGGCGAGCACGGGAGAGACACGCGAGAGAGCACCGAAACAATCGGCAGAGACGGGTAGCGGAGAGTGAACATCCCCTACCGATTGTCGTCCGCCAATCAACAAGATGCACGCACATTCGGCGGCCGGGAAATCACCAAGACCGAAACGCTGCCGAAGCATTTTGGAATCCTCGAGCTCGTCGGATAGTCGCGAATATCGAGATGATCGAATGCTGAATAATTGAATGCCAAATCACTGCTCGGTACGGCTGTCACTTGCAATTAGCTGCGTAATTGAGTACACCGTTAGCGTCCGCCGTTACAAATTATTGCTTCTTCCAACAAAGGATGACAAAGGAGGGAATCGTACACGCGACGTTGATTTATTATTTATCGATTATTCAAAGCGGACGGAGCGATCCCGTCGAGGCGGTCTGCATCTGTCACAGTCACGGCCTTTTATCGGTGCTCAGAAGGGAGTTCGTATGATTAGGAGATGCCGGCAATCATGCAGCAAATTGTCGCGCCGGTCTGTGCACGTCGATGTAAACAACGGATTCTGGCGGAAACAACTGCGAGAGAAACAGTCAAGATGCAAGGTTTGAGCCGACAAAAGCTTTCCTAGAGGAAAAGGCGGCTACATGAGCCGAGTCGAGCGTCGATTTCCAAGTCGCTTGTCGCGATGTAACGATTACTTGAACCGAGTTCGGAAACTGAGATCAGAACAGAGTGCCGTTTCTCGCACAAGCCCGATGAGTAGCAACTCGCAGCGTCTCAAAGCGGAACAATAGTCCGTATAGCGTGGCACCTCCCCGTGGAAATTCCCCGTCGGTATCCTCCAAGTTTAGCGGAATTTGCGGGATAAAATTGAATAAATAGAAGGCTCGGAAATTCGAGCATTAATATTGAACGAGCTGTGCGCTGTCAATCCGCGGGCTCGGCCTCTCGAGGCCTCTGAACAGTTTTCGACTTTTCTTCTCGAGAGATCCATAGAAATTCTGCTACTTTGCGACGACGTCGCGCACACTACGCGTTTATTTCGTTATTTTAGTGCTCGATTGGGATTGACGACACGCATTTACAGTGATATACTGAATGCTAAATTTCAAACGTAACAGGTAAAAGATCTCGAAAACTATGAAAGATATTAAAGAAAGCTAAAACACGTGGTCCACGATTTCGAAGGGGAAAGAGAATGGCATTATCAGTTTTTTATTTTGGTTTTATTTTGGTTTGGAGGGCATTTTCAAGGTCAGTTGAAGGTCAACTTAATTTTTTAAAAATAGAAAGCCCAATTTTATACTGTATCTTCTCTTTCTACCAATTAATTTTAACAACTTTTGTCTGAAACATTTTTTTATTTGCCTAATATTTTTTTTAATATTTCAGGAAAACTTGGTAACTTTTTCAACATTTAACTTACGATATATCTCGCTAACTGTTCGTCGAAAGAAAAAAATAATATTAAACTTTTTTACTTTATTTATTATCAAGAATATATTACTATAATAGTACCTTAACTTTTGTTAATTTAATAATTTTGAAATTTCCAAAGGTTAACAATAAGTTAACAAAAGTTAGGGCACTATTATAATAATATATTCTTGATAGTAAATAAAGTAAAAAAGTCTAATACTATTTTTTCTTTCGACGAATAGTTAGCGAGATATCGTGAGTTAAATGTTGAAAAAGTTACCAAGTTTTCCTGAAATATTTAAAAGAATATTAGGCAAATAAAAAAATGTTTCACACAAAAGTTGTTAAAATTAATTGGTAGAAAGAGAAGATACAGTATAAAATTGGGCTTTCTATTTTAAAAAATTAAGTTGACCTTCAACTGACCTTGAAAATGCCCTCCAAATAAAAAACTGATAAAGCCATTCTCTTTCCCCTTCGAAATCATGGTACACGTGTTTTAGCTTTTTTTAATATCTTTCATAGTTTTCCAGATTTTTTACCTGTTACGTTTGAAATTTAGCACCCTGTATATTTTCGTCGAGCCTACTATTAGGTTGGTAAGAAAAATACCCAGTCGATGTCATCCCTTTCACTTCATTCGTGAAAGTTACCGACCTCTTCGCGACGTCGATTTCGTCTCCGATTTTCCTCAACAACGCAACAAGCTGATGAACACAAGTCGTCGGTTTATAAAATCAACCCCGAACGAAACGCGATGCGCCTCCCGCCCCGAAGCAGACTCGACGTGGAACCAAAATTCCGACTCGCGGCACGCACGAATAGCCGAGCGAGGGGGTGGGAATGCTAGGGGATAAGGGGTGCGCGCTCTCTTAAAGATAACGGCGCGCAACGTCGACGGCAAAAGACCTCGCGAGAGGGCTTTTTGCATGCGCCAACACCTCGTGCAACAGAGTGAGGCGAGGAACAGCGCTGGTGGTGGTGATGGTAGTGGCGATGGTTTTCCGGCAACAAAAGGCTGCGCTCGGCCGAATGCTTGGAAAGAACTTTACTTAACAGACCACCCCGGCGCGGCGCGCAACCCGATTAATAATTCCCTCAAGGACACAGGCGATTGTGTACCGTCTGGTTATACTAATTAGCTCTCTCATCTGCCACGACGGTCTACTCTTTCGCGCGGCTACGTTATTAGTATGCAAATCAAAGCGAGTCGCGAGCACTTTGCCGGGCCGCCAAAGTTCGGCGTGAGAGAGAAAGAGAGAGAGAGAGAGAGAGAGAGAGAGAGAGAGAGAGGGGGGAGAGAGAGAGAGAGAGAGGGAGGGAGAGGGACCGTGCGCGCAATATGTGTGTGTGTGTGTGTGTGTGTGTGTGTGTGTTTGTGGGAGTGTGTAACCGTGGAAATTTCGCGGCACACGCCACGGGATTCTCAACGTTGATCGCTTTGACCCGCTTCGAGTTAGTTCGCGGAGCGGCTGCGCGACCGCCCGCGAACCTTTGACGGCGAACCTTTTATTCGGTTAATTATCGTGCTCGACGCCGCGGCTATTGAGGAGTTATCGGAGAGACGGCGATTGAAAGGCAAAGAAAGTCCGAGGACGATCGCGTCTACGAAATAACACGCCGGGAAATTATGTTTCTCGCTGGTTTCCCTTTTCTCTCTTCACCGTTTTTACTCTTCCCCTCCCTTTTAGCTCTTCTTCCGCTCTTACCTCGCGCTGTCGGAAAGTATCTGTATAGTTTGTGCATAAAGGTGTAAATATTTCTACATGGCTTGTATAAACAGACAATTCTTCAGCGGATCTGCGTTGCGAGGCAAGAAGACTAAACATAAACAAGGATCGAGGAAGTAGCAACTGTAAGTTATGCTTGAAGCCTCGGCTCTTCGGAACTTAGAATTTCGGAAGCTCACACAGTCGTTATATTCGAATAACGAAATTCCAAGGTGTGAATATTCGATCGATACGAATCGCGTCGCACTCCCCGAAATTAATTCTACCAAGAGCTTCGATATTTCGAGTCTCTTCCAAGTCGAAAGATATTCGAAACTCCCAGCTTCAACTTCAAGCGACGAATTATACCGAAGCGTCGAAGCTTCAAACGCATCAAGCAGTACTTGCCGCCAACAACGATCGATCATCTGAGCCTACATGTTCTTCATCATAAAAAGAAAGAGATAGAGAATATACAGGGTGTCTGAGACGCAACGCGCGCTAACGCTCGTCGCGTATATGGGTTAGGTCAAACTGAACACAAAAGTCTTACAGCCCCCATTCTGCAAACGACCGTGTAAAATTTTGAATTATCGATTAGGTAGATTAATTAAGGAAGATAAAGAAAGTGGATCAGGTCAAAGTGAAGCAGGCGGAACGTTACTTCGCCCTTCGCTCGCTGCCGTTCGGCGAGCGGCGGCGAGTGGAGGCGTCGCTCCGCACGCGGATGTTCAGCAACTTTGTTTAATTAATAACTGAAAAATTTTACGCGGTTGTTTTGCAAAGTGGCGGAGGACTTTCTTGTTCAGTTTGATCTGAACTGCGAGCACCCGACGGCAGGCAGGCGTCGCCATCACAGCTCATCTATCGTATCGAGCGCGGTTATTCGCCAACTTTGTTTAATTAATATCTCAAAATTTTACGTAGCTGTTTGCGAAGTGGCGGAGGACTTTTGTGTGCACTCCGACCTAACCTGCATGTACGCGAGAGAGCGTTGTCGTGCCCTGCATCAGACATCCTATATACGGACGTATTACAGGCTCGTTTTTTATCGCCGGACTGGCTGCTTTACCTTGTACTAGTTCTCTTTCTCCCTTTTACCCAACAAGCCCCCACTATATACCTGTCTGTTTTTTAATTCCGGAAATGTACACTACTTCAGCGATAGAAAACGAGCTGGATGAACTTTCGAAAACCATTCACACCTAATTGCCATAAATTTAATGCCAATAATACTGTTCGAGTAATACCGTAGATTTCAAGCAGTAGCAAGTAGAGTTCAAATAATATATCATAATACATCGCAATTAGTATCTCGATTTTTTTTTCAATTAGTATTTATTAGTGTTACACTAATTCCCCAAATTAATCTATGCACCGCCATCGTACGACAACGAATGAATATTTCTTCTGATCTCACTTTACCGCGATGTAATTGCTTCATTTTTTAATTTAGAAACAGCGAAATTTTTTAATAGCGACAAATATACGGTTGTAATACGTAGACTTATCTTTCAGAACATAATATGACAGGGATTTAATAATATAAGCAATCATATAGGTAAAGTTACTTAAACCTTTTGGCATTAAAGTTCTTCGTCGATGAAAATCCATGCAGGCGCATTAATTTCGGATCACTCGCTAAAATTCGCGTCGAAAGGACGCTTGGGCGGCGGTTTTCGGAAGTTCACCCGGCGAAGCCATTAATAAACATCGAACGCGCGCCGCGAGATGCTCGATCCGGCGCGATAACATTATCAAGAGCATCGCGCCGCCTGCGATTTGTACGTCATGAAGTTCGCACGACATGCCGGCGACATGGCGGCGGATTTATTTTCCCGTGGATGCGCCGCGCGACAGTCGACAGAGAAGGAGCGCGAGGGAGAAAGAAGATCGCGAGAGAGAAGGAGAGAAGGAGCGGCGGCGTCTCTCTCTCTCTCTCTCTCTCGTCGTATCACGCTTCTTTCTCCTTTCCCTTACCTCGTCACCGCGGGATAGCAGTCGTGATTGAAACGGGCGACCGTGGGATAAATTGCCACGCCGAGATAGACCGGTCGGCTGCCGCGGAATCGATGCTGCGCGCTTAGCCGCGTCTCGAAGAACTCGTGGGCGTTAAATTGGAGCAGCTGCAGGTTCCTCAGCAGCAGGCCAGCCACGCTGATCTCCTCGGCGTCTGGGACTCTTCCTGCGGACTCGCCGAAACTTTCCGTTATTAGTAGCTTCGCGCGAGAGCGCGCGTTTCTCCGTCTCGCGCGACCTTCTCGGCGGGAAAACTTCCCGCCGGGAAGTCCCTCGCTCTGCGGGGAAAGGCGCTCGCGCCGAAGAACCTCGGAGACTCTACGCCGCGCCGGAGACCGCGCGCGAATCTGCTGAATCGCAAGTCCAACCGCGAGGCAAGCATAGGAATGCAACGATAAACCGATATATCGAGAGACAAATACCGAATATTTTTTTGTCTCGGATAAAACTGAAAATCGATATATCGATATGAATTTTACTGATATTTCGTATTTTTCAGTTACAGCTCTGGGGGCCTATTACGGCCTTCTACGACCGAGATGAAAATTCCAAAAGTGAGTGAGTGAGTTCACTGGAATATATATTATTTAATTGGTCGATGTCTAGTAAATTCGCTCACTTTTATCATTTTCACCTCGATCGTTGAACCGTAATAGCATCTCCCGCTTCATGTATGCGCGGTGATCTCCTGATCGGCAAATACGACTGCGGTTTATTATATATTTTCTAATAAGAATATGATATGATAAATTACATGAAGATAAAAATTTTTAAAAGATCTTTTTAAATTTTTCGCGTACCCCCCTATATGTATACATTTTTTTATATAAATATCGATATTTTTCAAAATTATCGATATTATCGTTATCGATGGTTCCGAATGACGATAATATCGTTATCGATATTTTGAGAAATCCCTATTTGCCCCTGATTGCATCCCTAGGCAAGCACATTTCCCCTTCCCCCTCCCCCTCCCCCGCGAGAGCGAGCCCTCGTCGAGCTGAGCTCGAGAGCGCGGCAAATCTATCCCGCCAAGTTAAATACGAGCCGCAGGTGCGATAAATACCGTCGTCCGCGGCGGGACGATCGAAGAAGCCGACCCTCTGCAGGCATTTCAGCAGAAAGGCCGCCATCAGCGATCTCTCGAGGAAGTCCTTGGCCGTCCGTCTGTCGCGGTGCGTCACCAGATCGTACGCTCGCACGTCGACGCCCTCGTCGTCGCCGTCCTCGCGGGATTTCATTGTGCCCACCTGCCCCTCGTCGTCCTTCTCCTCCTCCTGCTCCTTCCCTTCTGGCTCTTCCGTCACTTTCGCCGACTTCGTCGTCGCGGTAATCCCGTCACCTCGTCTGGACTCCCTGAGCTTCCGCCGTCTGATCCTCCTTTTGGCCGACTTGCTCGCCGACTTGGCGTCGTCGTCGTCGTCGCGCATATCCGGCCGCGTCGTAACCGCGAGCGTCGCCGAAGGCGCCGCGGCCTTTTCGCAAGCGCGCCCGCCACTCTTCCGCAACTCCTCGCAGATCCTCAAACACTTACGCACACCCTCCTGCGTCACCATCCGCAAGGCGAGCATGCTGAGTACGCTCATGCCGGAGCCTGGGGAGGGGGGGTAGAAATTTAAAAGTGGCTTGTAATTACCCGCGCGTACCGAAGGGCGCTCGCTTGCCGCTCGAGATAATGGCCCGCGCGCGCGCGCGCGCGCGTACCGGAGGCGGCGAACGCGCTTCCGGTTTTATTTATCGCGGCGGAGAGGCCCCGGGAGAAATATGACGAAGTTTATTACGCCATCGGGAGCGTGAGCTCGGCGACGGGCGCGCGTTCGCCGGAAGCTCCGCTGGCTTATCGTTCACCGACGCTGGGCGCTAATCGATTACGGAAATTTAGCCGGCTAAAGTAATCGGCGCGAGTTGGTAATCGGGATTAATAATCAATCGTCATGCACGCAATAATCTGGGAGTGATTCGGTGGACCGGTGAGATTAATTATTATAACGATTATAAATGTACGGCCAATGGAATTTGAGTAATATCGATTCGAACGGTCGTTGTACGCAATCGCGATTTGTTATATGTTAAAACTGCGATCCCGTTCGCAGCTCAATTGTTCGGTTCTTCTTTCGTCGGGTAAATTCATTTTGACAAATATACGGGTGATACTTCATTCCACGGCTTCAGCGCCGAATTTATGCCAGTTACGCTCTCTCGGTGAAACAATACTTGTAATGATGTAAGAAAAGTAAGCTAACACGAGCCGATGGCGAAACAAACGTTGGTTGTCGTTATAAATTATTGTAAATAATAAATATGATAGAAAATTCGAATTCCTCATAATTTAAGAAGGTCCGCGAAATAATCGTGGCCTTGAATAGCGGTTGAAAAAAAAATCCCCCAAAAAGATATTTGCGATCTCCGCGGCAATAGTGTCGAACAACTTTGCGCGTCGCAACGACAATGGAGCGTCGTGTTTAATCTCACCTATCAACAGGGCCAAGATTTTGCACTCGTACTTGTGATACGTCGCCATCGCGACGTCCCTGCACTTTCTGCCGCAGAAGGCGACGCTGCTGCAGTTCGGGCATCCGAGCGGCGCTCTTAGTCTAAAAATTCCCAGGATATTCGTTAGATCGATTGAAAGGGAAACGGGGTTAGTAGCGGAAGGGAGTAAATTATGCAAATTGCCGAATAAAAGCCAAGCAGGAACTTTCGCCGTTGTCGCTCGCGCAAAAGGATCGTCGCTCGGGGGGGATCGGCAGGTTCCATTGGGGATGAGTTTAAACTCATCGCTCAACACAGTTCCGAATGAAATGACGAGCGGGACTAACGAACAAAAATCGACTCGCACGAGCGACGGCGAAAAGCTGGAAAATTCGATTGGAAGCCACCGATCGAATTGATGCTACTGAGTGAAACAAAACACCGTCGCCGTCGGCGATAGCGAAACAATGTTGGACGTTGATCGATCGGAATCTTCATTGACTGAAATAATCGGCGCACCGATGACCAAAATTAATTAATCGCCGTCTGCGCAATAATGAATAATTTAATCGATCGATGAAATTAATTATGAATCAATGTATAATCAATCATATTGAAGCCATCAATTGATCGTTATGAGGAGTGAATGTTGCCTCGTCGTGAGCATCAGTTCATAAATTGATAACACACGCGTGTTAACAAACTAAGCACGCAACGCTCATCTTGACGCGGCACAGTTGTTTGGTCGCGCCTTTTCATTGACGGTTCGACGAAGATATAATTCTGCCGAGTAACTGCAAGCTCAAGAATAATCCGCACAAATTTAACAAACAGACCGATTTAACCACAGAGTTCGATATTAAATCGTATCAACTTTCAAAACGCAATTTTCCTGTTTCAACGTTTACCACGATTCTTAATTTAATTCGAGAAAATTGTTACAAATAACAACTCGGGAAAAATCAAAGTGCTGCGTTAGCTCGCTCATTAAAGAAAAACAGACGCAATTGTCGCAAATTGCGACACCGTCATCAGTTCGCCGTTCGCGTAATTCCAATTAACTCGACGTTAATTTCGATTATTCGAAGCAACGAGCATTTCTCGAAGGACCAACGCCCAAGCCTGCGGGAAAGCGACACAGAGGACAGCCAAACGACGACGAACCGGAAGATCCGATCCTGCCAGTCTCCCTTTGCCCTTCCCCGTCTCCCTTCGCCCGGCGTTTCCCTCGGAAGCGTCGTTGCAGACGAGCGCGCGCGCGCGCGCGCGCGGCAGCGGCGAATTCCGCAGCGAAATTCTTTGCGCCTTGTTTAGCGCGCGCGCTCGGCTTTTACCGTCGCTTAATAACGAGTCCCCGTTCGCATACGGTTCGTCACATGCACCGCTCTCGGGTTAATGAAATCCGTTTTCTCTCTCGCCGTCGTGAGTTTATTCGTAAAAAGCGCCGGGCTTACCGCGGACCGTGCGGACAAAGCGAAAGTTACGCGGAGGATTACGCGCCGTCCAAGGATTGTCCATTAAATTCGGGACACGGGCGGCGGCGACTGCGGAGAGGCAGGGGCAACAGGAGGAGGAAGGAAGGAGAAGGAGAAAGAGGAGGAGGAGGAGGAGGAGGAGGAGGAGGAGGAGGAGGAGAGCGGGTCGACGGGAGGTGGAAGCCGGCGGCAATTTTCTCCTCACCTCGAGTAACAATGCTGACAATGGGTGCCATAGAATTCCGGTAGGAGACAACCCGCCAGCGGTGGCTCGACTACCAGAATATCGCCCGGATGTATTTCCCTGGTCGCGACGGCGTGTTTACCCGCTGCCGCGGTCTCACGGATTTCCAGGCAGTCGGACGACCAGCGTAGACCGGAAGTAACAGCGCCATTTAACGGCGCGCCGCCTGAGACACGTGCGATGTTTTCTTAGATAGAGAGAGAGAGAGAGGGGGGAGGGCGTTCTTTCCGCGAGAGCGAGCTCATCAGACGGCTGGCTGTCGCGCAATGTTGACTCGCACACGCCTTAACTTACCGCGCATCATGTAACTCTTCTTCAATCTACTCTATATTTGCGACAAAAGATGCGCGCCAAGCGGAACTCGTGCTATTCGAAATCTGCGATTTCGACCTGGGGACTGACTTTCGGTCTTCGCGCTCTTCAGATTGTTCTTCCAGTGAAATTCCAGTGAAACGGTGAAAAGACGAGTCGCTCGAACTCGAGTGACTTTTCGCTTACAAACAGTGCATCGTCTTCCATCGTCTTCCGAATCGTCGGCTGAATATTTTCAGTCGAGATTGAAAAGTAAACGCAACGGCTACGCGACGCATACAATGTATAATTAAGTTATTAATATTGGAACAATATATAACGCCCGAGTATTTTAATTGTACGCACGCTTGTCTATTTAGTTGTCATCGACTATTCAAAGAAGCGTGTCAAGAGAGAACATCTGCGCCCGCTGTGATGGTTTCACGTCAACGTTCGCAGACAAATGTGCACGATTAGAAAATGTCAGTGGCTTGATTACACCGCGTGTTGAAACTATTACGCCGCTCTGTATAACCCATCGCCGCAGGAACAAATTCGGTCTAATCGATTGAAGCATTTACCGTCGTATGAATTGACAATCCACTCGAGGTTCGAGTTAAACATACACTCCGGTGTAATTCCGACCGGCAGTTGGATAATTCAGAGAGCACGAGCAAAATTTCGCCCGGGCTTCTGTGTCGCGAGGAATATAATTATCGACTTCATATCTTTCACATCTCGCACACGCGGTGAGAATTCTATAATAAAAATATATTTCAGCGATCGAGGTATATATCTCTCTTTCGACACTCTGGCCCCATTTATTATCTCTCCGTTTCACGCGTGCGTATTTTTACATCTTAGGAACCGGAGGGAGTCTCTGCTATTTTTTTCCTCAACTCATTTACCAGATCCTCTGGCTGAGAAACGTGCTGAGGTTGAGAATAATTTACGCGACAGAAGCTGTAATATTCTCTAGCCGCACGGCTTGGATTTGTTATTAAGCACGATGATAAATAATTATAAGCAATTAGGAGTCTCCATGCGTTGTGCACACTTGCTCGTCGTCTTAAGGCCACGTCAAAGCAGCGCGAGTGCATGCGCGGCGCGGCGCGGCGCGTCGAGTGAAGGAGAATGCGCTTTACCGCACGTCTCTACGTCGATTTGCCGACGAGTTGCAGAGCGCGGAAGGTTCCGAGCGGCCCGCGCTCGAATCGTCAATGAACGGGGTCGATTACGCGCGCGTCTACTACGCGCGCTCGGTGACGTAAGCAGCGCGCACGTGGCGCGCATGAGCGAAGGAGAGGGGGAAGGGCGACGCTCAGTCCCGGCGATCAGATCGCGCCTGCACAAAATCGCCGATATCTCCACGCGGGAGAATCGTAGAGACTTGAAACAGGGCGCGTTGGAAAGCTCAGAGCTGCGCGTTCATCGCAAGCGCGCTCGATTCGCGCGGTATCGTCAGGAGAAGCAGGTAGGATTTTACGAAGCAGACTGTTTCGTGCTTTTCATCGAAGTAATCGCTGCGATGATTTTGTCGATTATGTATCGTCCTGGAAAACGAACCGAAGTTTTGAAGAACTTCCCTGAAGAAACGTATTCAAGATATGTAGCGGCTGAGTGACAATAATGATGAATAATTCTGACGTTAGATCGGGGATTAAGATCGAAATGCGGCGGGGCGAAATTTCGATGAGCGTTCGACCTCGCTGTTCAGCGCGTACGACTCCCGGACGACTTCAACGAAACGCGACGCCGCCTTCGTTTCGTTGTTAATCCGAGTTATTCGCGGCGCGGTCGCTTGCGCTATTATTTAAGAATTCCGAAAGGGATTCCCGGCTAACGAGAATGTGTAAACAAGCCGCAATTCCGCACGAAACGCCATTTCCGGTTATCTCGGTCGCGACGCTCGCATGTGGCACGTTGCCCACTGCGGTGCTCTAATGAATGGAAGAAATTACTGCGGTCCGAAGAGGATGTATACGCTCGAACGACTAATCATGATCCGTGAAGCGACGATACCTACGCGCCGCGCGCGCGCGCGCGAGTTCCGTTCTCGCTCACCGAAGCGGACAACAACAAACCCCGGCCTGTTGTAGTAATTGCGATATTCTGACTGTTTCCCGCTAATTTCGAAAAAGTATTCGTTCTCTCTCTCTCTCTCTCTCTCTTCACGTAGTTAAACATAACCGTAATTTCCGCCAAACAATTAGTCGTTTTCCCTCACTCGCTGCGCCCCGGTCCACTTCGTTACGTATTATTAATCAGTTTTGCGCAACAGTTCGAAAATTATCCACCTGTCGGCCGCGGTTCCCGCAATAAGCGGGCGCTCATTTATCGTACTTACCGATCGCCGCGTGAAATATGACGATCGGCTCGCTGCATTCGCCGGAGCGCCTCCGCGATTTTGCCTAAGGTGAATGTCCGAATTAGCGACACTTGGGCCGTTTCCTCAATAAATCAGCTGACACCACGGATCTTTATTTATCGCAAACGTGTGTTCTCACTGTAAAGTTTATGTATTATCGCTGACGGGGACAGAATTCAAGCAATTATTCATTGACATCTTAGAAATTTCGATACAATTTACTATCAGACGTCTTTCCGGTGCGGATTTGCGTGCGAGTTATTTTCTTCCTTCAAGGTTAAACTATCAATGAGAGAACAAATGTCACTAAACTGCCACGCCGCTTAATATATTATTTATGGGAATGACAACTTCAGTCATTTTTGGTGAGATGTTACAAAGAGATAAAAATTTTCAAAACCTCAAACGTTCAAGCTTTCCGACAATCAGTTAGTGTACTCAGCTTGATCAGTTTAATGTACTCAGCTTAACGCGCGCATTATTGATTTATAAATTTGCACTCGTGTAGATTTTATTCGTGAATTTATATTTCACGACGAGGTTATTCAGCCGCTAATTGGGACATTCACCTTACCTCTGTTTTCTCATTTATCGTTCACGGTGCTCGAAAATTCCGGCTCGCCGCGGCGATCGCGTACACGCCGCGGAATAATCAGCGGGTCTTGCACATCCGCTCGAATTTCGTTCTTCGAATTTTCCGCGCACCGCGCTCGTACAGTTAACGAAACGCATCCGCCGTCGGTCGGTCGGTCGGTCGGTCGTGTGGAAGCGTGGGGAGAAAAACGAAATGTCAAAACGAACAAGAGGAAAAGAGCGGGAGGGGAGGCGAGTCCGCAGAATTCAGAGGGGATAATACCCGCGGGTGAGGACGGAGTGCGCGTTAAAATTGCAGGATCCACTTACTGATTTATGATACGGCGGATCGATTACCGCGAAGAATGCGCGGCGCACGATGAATGGAGAAAATATGCAATGACATGGCCATGCGTGTCAGAGAAAAAAAATATACCTAGTTCTCCCACTCTCTCGCGCGCTCTCTCTCTCTCTCTCTCTCTCTCTTCCCCTCTCTCTCTCTCTACATGCGAGAATGCGAATTTATTTTGCGCCACGAGTAAAAATTGCTCTCTCTAGATTCCTCTTCTGATAAAAAATGGATAAAATTTATACGGCGACTCCAAACAAGATACAACTTTGTGAAATTCGTGAATCTGATCGGAGTGTGATGTGTTGGTTTCAGCCAAGAGTGCACGCCAATCAGGTTCACGAATTTTACAACATCCCCAAAGCAGCTTTCTCCGCCGAATCAGACGATACTTTTTACCGATTCAATTTGACGATTCAATCTGAGATTATCGCGCTTGTTTATGTATCTGAATAATAATTATTTCGCATCGCATTTTTGATTGTGTTAAATTGCTTCATTTTTATTTATCTGTTTCTTTTTTCTTCTTATATAATTCCAATCCATAATTCGGTTCTGCAGCTGAATCTTTCGCAACAGTCCCAACTTGGATCCGAATAATCCAGGTTATTTGAATTATCCGAAAACTGCGGCTTTGACCTTCCCGACCGAAACCGATCTCAGATATGCGGATAGTTAGATATCTGAATACTTGAGGATCCTGGTTAACAAATGAGAACGCCCGAAGGCTCAGTTTGCACACAACGAAGACTTCGTCAGACGCCTGTAGGCGATCACACACTCTGAAGGTAAAATCTGTCGTCGCAGCTTCTCACAAACACACGCACGCACGCACGCACGCACGCACGCACGCACGCACACACACACACACACACACACACACACACACACTTTCGCGCGCTACCTCACTTTCGCGAAGCTGTCTCCGTGCGCTTTTCGGGGTTCCGGCGCTAGAGCGCGCTGCGCAGCGCCAAGTAATAATTTCATTTATATTCGGCCGACGCTCCGCGGCGGTTATCAGCGCGGCGATAAGGCGGATGATAAGCTCTTATGAGGCGTGCAACGCTCGCCGCGTCTTAAGTCTTAAGAAGTTAGACGGATCTATCCAACGGGGAGCGCCGCTGATACTTTGAACACTCTTCTAATTTGATTGGACCGCAGTCAGACTCGCGAGCTCTTGCAGAGCGGCGGCGGCGGCGGCGGCGGCGGCTGCAAGAACAGCAATGGCGGGGTGAGGGGGCGGGGGCGAAGGTTGAAGTAAATGAAGTTCAGTTACGAACGGCCGCACCTACAGCAGCAGCAGCAGCAGCAGCAGCACAACCTTCGAATCGCGTTTTCGGCTTAAGCCATGAAGCGCTCGAGGGCTGCTTTGTGGTGCTACAATTCCACGTTCGAAAACAAAGAAACGCTTGTCTCTGTTTGAGCGGTTGAAACGGTCCGGGGGTTGGCTCAACTCGGAGATACTCTTAACGATCAATTAGTCGGGCGAACTCGTCGCTGTAGTAGTAGCCGGAGTAGTAGAACAGTAGTAGTAGAAGTAGCAGTAGCGGAAAGAGAAGGAGGAGGAGGAGGAGGAGGAGGAGGA